ACTCAGAATTTGGACCGCAAGGGCGAAACTGAATTGAACCTGTTCGTTGGCTTTGGGCAGGTTGAAACATGCCAAGTCAGGAAAGTAGAGGAAACAAGCCAAAGACCCTCGAATCCCGCCATCTGAGAACACCATCTGTCTTCATTTTGACCGCCTCAGTTTTTGGCCCCGACTAAAGGAACAAGTATGGCCCACACAAACAATTACTTAATACTTAAATCAAGAGCCAAGGCAAACACAAGCTCACTTCCCAACAGGGCTTGGGAACTGAATGTTTGCCGGTTTGGGCACTTGGGCACTGAATTAGGGCCTACTAGCATGTTCCTCTTAAGGACCTCCTGGCTTCCACGTTTCTTGGCCCTCAAAAAAAAAGGTCATACTTTCAGATTCTGTTCATTTTTTAGTCTACTCTCCAATATAAAGAGATCTTGGAGACCCCCATGTTGGTGGGAGGCTCGCATTTTTGCACCTCAACTAAGCATGGACCATGACAGAAAAACACGAAAGGCACACTCGGGTGTGTCTCAAGCTGGTGGACCCCCAAACAGGATTCAGAGGATACATCAAAAAAGCGCCTGACTTACGAGGGGATGCTCAGAACATCAGCTGGCAAAAGTCTCAGTTGTTCAGTGACCCGGGCAAAAAAAAGGGAACCCATTCTTTTTTGGGAAGACAATGTTAGTGGGGCAGCCACCAAAAAAGGGAAAAAGGGAGCCACTGAACAACTGAGAAGTATTTCTTGATTGGCCCAAAAAGCATCCTTTTAAGGGACGGTGCAAAATGGCAACGATGTCCTTGTTCATTGCACGTCAAGCCAACTAAACGGGGACATGCAAAACGAGACAGACAGACTAGTTGTTTGCAGCGCCTACTCCAAATGAACAAAGCCAAAGAACAAAACGACTCAAATAACATGCCACCTGCAAGAAACAGCAGACACACTGTGAAGCTTCATTCCTTGGCCTGACACTCGCCAAAAACGATACCTTAAACCCATATCCTTCTTATTTACTCACAAACAAAAGAGCTCACTTGCCCCTTCGGGAGCTGGAAAAAAACAAGTTTACCTTTTGCGACCTTACCCATATCCTTCTTATTCACTCGCAACAGAATAACTCACTTGCCCCAAGAGCCAAAAACTAGGTTGACCTTTTGGTACCTGGGCCATGCTTGGGTAGCCAAAACTAGGCTGGTCACGGCAAACAATAGCTTTAAGCCCTACCCATATCCTGCTTATATATTCAAACAAAAGAACTCACTTGCCCCAAGAAGCTCAAAAAGCTAGGTTGACCTTTCCGGGAGCTGGAAAAAAGTTTACCTTTTGCGACCTGGACGAAACGATATACCAACATCTCCCAACCTTGCGGAAGCCCAAACGCGGGATCCGGCCACCGGCTCCGGTCGCTTCGCAGATGCTCGTGCTAGGCCCCCCAGCCAGAGGCCACAGGGGTGCCTGGTGGCGGTTGTGGATGTCTAGGAACCTGCCCTGGACTCGGTTTGCCTTGTGACTGTTTGTTTCTTGGCCTTGGTGAAAGGCAGATGTTTTTTTGGGGGGAAAAAGATGAAAGGGGTGCAAAGGTCCAGGAGAAAACAACCACTCTGTGTTGGGTTGATATTGAAGGGGCTTGTTGTTCAAGGGAACAAAGCGCACGCAGGTCTGGGCTCGAACGAAGCACCCGCAATCCAGAACAAAGCCATTTGACGTCAGCAAGCTTCTCACTGCATGCCTTGTCACTTTGACCCTGGAAGAAATATACTAAACAACTCCAGTAGTGACAGATTCCCTTCGAAGACCAACAGGGGAAAATCAGACTTATTCTGAAGCAACCGGAGTCTCGACATAGGGGGCGCTTGATCACAATTCTATGGGTTGTTTCCCCATTCTTTTCAGCCATCTTTCTTTTCCAAAACCGATCGCCATTTCCCTAGGGTTTTTGGTGATTTTCTAGAAAGAAGGATCCATGGAAAGAATGGAAATGGAAGTTACCGATAGAAAACATGTGTTTGTTTGCCATTTGCAAAACTACAAAAGGTGTCGAGCCTCACAAATGGACCCCGGTGGACCATAGTAGTCAGCCATTGGCCACAAACAATACGTAGAAAGAAGGCTTCCGCAGGTTAAAGACAGAGGGAAGTTCCCATTTTGAGACGGGAACTTTCACAGAAAGGTAAACAGGACACCCAAATTCCGATCTTCCATTTGGTTGGAAGGGGTCCTGTGGTTCCATATATGAGAACCCTGGATTAAACACCTGGTTGACTAATTTTGTACGAACACCCCCCCTATTAATTAATGGGACACATTTCTTATTGCAGGGTCAATATTGGTGGCGAGAAGGGTCTCCCGTCGATGCTTATCCGAATCGTGTCGCTCAACACGAGTTCTTGGTGATAGAGACTCAAGAGTCTGCCATCCCGGAGCAGATTCCAGAGAGAGACAGAGAGAGAGGGAGAGAGAGAGAGAGAGAGAGAGACACCCAAATCCCCTGCGGCCATGACAACAAAACGGGAGCCCATGCTTTAGCTCATTTTGAAGGGAAGCCCCCTCCAAAAACACGGGAACCGACCCCAGGCTACTAAATCCCTGTTTATTCATATGGGGATGTCCCTGGTTTCAGTGGGGATTCGGGGAAAAAACAAGTTGATGAATCCGGGTTCGGAGAAAATAAAAATAAAAAACAATTGGAAAACACATGAATCCGGGGTCCACCTTCGCGTCTTAGATCTAAACGCGCCAAAAGACTTCCCGCGGCCCCGGCAGCTGGAGGAGCCGCTGGAGCTTTCGGAGACCTGGCGCAGGGCCGGGCGCGGAAAACCGGGCCATCTGCGAAAAAACCACCTGAGTCGCAATCCGCAGCTATTTATGGTTTTGATTGTGGCTCACCTAACTAGGGATAGAAAAACACCATTCACATCTCAATTTCCCCGGTTGACACAGAGGCTGATTGACAATATGGAGTGCCTAGGTGTCCAAGCTACTTAGTAAGTAGGCAACTATGGTTCTAAGGAGACGATCACCCCAGTTGCCCCAGTAAAAACCGAGGGACAATTTACTACTAAGATGGTTGAACACCCAATGATTGTGTGAAAAGTAAAACTAACAGTGCACAAATAAACAAAACATAAATGAACAAAATCGATAAACATAAACTAACGAGTGAATAAATGAATACATGTAGGAATATTGTGTGTATATATATATATGTATGTATGTATGTCCCTTGAGGAGTCGTGGTTGCCCATTGGAGGGGCACGGGGGTGTGCACTAGAGGTACATATATATATATATGCATATGTATGTAAAAATGGGCAACATGTAAACCTGCAAAACAGATCCATTGCAACGCAACCTAAAAGTGACCGTTGGTGACGAATAGTGGCTTTCCATGGTTCCCCTTGCGATGGCTCTGGCACCAACATGCCGGGAGGTTGTGTGCGCATGCATGCATACAGATACACATGCGCGAAATGCAAAGGAGATCAAGTACAGGCACGCTTGTGCAGAATTTGAACACGGGACTGTGTAAACCTAAGGCCTTCTGACCTACAACTGAGTGGGACTTGCCGTTGGATGCGTGCATACAATAGCCGCTGCAGATTTAATGGAAAAACAGTTGTTTTCAACACATCAAACGAACGAAGGCCGCAAGGAGACATGCGTCGGAGCTTTGCCCAACACGACTGTCTCAGCAACACATTCGCACAATGTGGGAGTCCCTGTGGTGCTAGCTCGAACAAAGCGTTTTCGACCTCATGATCCGGAGGACCGTGCCGATCAGGACGGTTCCCCTTTCAGCAACGGTCTGGGCTCATTCTAAGGAGAGCTCTTCTAAGCATCTTCCGGCAGATGTTTCAAACATCAGCAGCGATTAACATGGTCAACAGGAGGCGTCTTTGCTTGCAAATATGATTGTAACCTACGTTGGGTGTAACCATGGCGTTTACCAACGGTTATGACACAAGGGAACACAACACACCTCGCAACTTATGCCCCTGGCTATATCCTCGGTACATGTGCCGAAGCCCGCGCTACCCCACAATCTGCCCATCGGACAAGGGTTGTAAGCCTCAGCGAGGCAGAGCGAGTCGGCAAATGGGATCCGCCGGGCCCGCCGGCGTGTCTTGCGCGTCCTTGTATGTAGTCTCGGTTTTGTTTCGCGTTGTGTTGTAGACTGCCCTTTGGCGCGGATTTTGCCTCGTCTGAATTGTCGTCACTCCCCCCCCCCCCCGGGGGGGTCCGAGCGTGGCTAAAACCTGCGCCAAACGACTTTCTAGAACATAGAACCAAAACACAAACGCGACCACATGCAAGAAAACTAATTCAAGCGCCCGCCTACGAAGCGGGCGTATCAAAGCAAGGAAGCGGCCGGGTCCCCCCGCCAAAGGACACGGCGGCTACTCCCTGCTGCGAGTGTTGCACGCATAAATACTAAGGAGTGCGCGCGAAGCGCATCTCTGCTCTTCGGGCCAGGTGGTCAAGTCCGCACGCAAATCATACAACAACCGCCAAGCGACTTTTCTTCCATGCGAAGCCACAACAAGACATGCACGCGTTTGCTTGCTGCTGCCAGTGTCGCGTGCGCAAGTAAGCGCCTGCGAAGGGGTGTCACACCTGGCTCAGTTCGGCCCCCAGCCTCCCAGGCTACAGGGCGGCCAGCCAAAATCGACAGGAGCCGGCGGCACATGCCGACAATGCGGCCATAAGGCCAAAGAAGCAACGACCGACTTATGTCAGTCAAACACTCACTCAAATCCTGCCAAAAAAAAAACTCACAATAAACACGAGGAAAAGGGCTGTCCCCGCCTAAACAGTGTTTCAACACGCCCTTGCATTCGGGATTCCGCGGTTTCGAATGGCCCTCAGTTGAAGCCGTTCGCATCCCCTAAGGTTTAGAGGCCAAAGGCGGCAGCAAAAAGCCAGCGCATGCAAAGTGCACTCGGCTCAGCGCCGGATCACTCTACCTCGGACCTAAGTCCGTCGAAGCAGCTCCAAGGTGACGTTAAGTCGGTGGTACTTCTTCCAAGCCCTTCCAGAACTCCTGGTAGCTCCTGAACCGCTCCCTCTATCAAAGCAAACATTTGGATGTTTTCCAGCTCCTTGGCTCCCTTCCAACAACCAGCTAGACTCTGGTGGACCCAGAGTTCAAACTTCTGACGGTGGCCCAACTAGGTCCTCTATCACTGACACTGGCCCGACGTAGGGGAACCCCCCCAACCCAAAAAAGTTGGTAAACGGGCACCTAGCTGGAGGACCACCAAGAAAGGTTCATTCTAGGCAATTTGATCTGCTTAGACCGGAAAGGAACCCTCCCAACCAAGAAAGTTGGTGAGAAAGGGCACCTAGCTGCGGGACCTAGCCAAAGCAACGAGCGGCTTGACCAGCTGCCTCGGCCTCCTGCGTCGGGAGCTCCGGGCTGCCCTGACGGATCTGAATCTTTCGAAGAACCCAGGCTGCAGGGCGGGGGGACGTTCGGATGAATTTAGGGAGATGGTGAACATGGACACATAAATCAGTGTTTTTCTCTTCTTGTTTCCGTTTCCCCCCCGATGTTTTTTCCTTTTTGTTTCTGTGTTGTTTTGTTTTATTCTCGATCTTTTCTAAGGTTTGTATGCTTGTTTTTCTGCCCTCCTTCTCGCTTCCGATCGAGCAAATGGGTCAGAACACGTCCAATGTATTTTTGTTTACCACTAAAACGGTCTTCCCCAAAAATATAAAGTTTTAAAGTCCAGGAACTGAGGAAAGCGAGATCATAAGCTCTTCCTAGTCCCGGTGCTCCAAAAAAAGCCCTTTTTCAGGTGCAAGAAACCTTCCGATGGAGGTCCTGACCCCGTAAATGGAGGGCCCAGTGATGCTTAGGGACGGTGCCAAATACAGCAACCCGCGCACTCCGGAACTGCTCCGAACCACTCCGGAGGGCAAGGAGAGACCCCACAGCTTCGATCCAGCTGTTGAGGAAGAAAAAGAACGGGGCCCAGCTTTTTATTCCCGAGCAACCAGCATACATTCTGGTCCAGAATCAAAGAACCAGTGAAAAAGAGATTGCACAATTATCCATAGGTAGAACTGGATCCACTGCGTGCTTTCTCTTAACCCGACATCGATCGACCTGGCCTGTATGCCAGACAGCTGCAGCTGCGGGATCTGAATGACCTGCCACGAAAACAAGTAGCAAAGGAAACAGAGTGACCCCTTTGGACCTCCTCCACAACCATCCGCAAGATACAGCAGGAATACTTGGATGTTCGGCCAAGTTATTGTTGGTACTCTGAGTCTAGAACGCTTCTTCCAATGACACCAAAGTATGTGACCAATCGATATCCTGGGTCCAGATCCAACACCTGCACTTTCAATTACTCTCCCCGACCAAGTCTTGCGGAACCAACTTGCCTTCCAAGGTGGTTTGCACAGGGTACATGTCGCTAGTATTGGGCTTATACAACTATATGGCTGTGGGTCAAACATAGGTACCCAAAATGGAACCCTGGTACATGGAACCAAGGACTAAAACCTGCTGTCCTCTTGGTGGTTCAATTTTGATACCCATACCCATATGTTGTCATCTTTTTGAAGGAACCTCAGCAAATGAGTCAGAATCAACACCTGGTATTAAGATGGTCTACCCAGAACCATGTGAAGAATAACGGGGGATATCCGCACCCAGTTGTGGCTAGTATCCCAGTTTGTTTCCCCCATGAGTTTAGCAACAAAATCTGAGTGTTGTTTGACTATGCTCAAACGAGCTCATGTAGGCCGCCCAATTGTCTGTAAATCAAGCCCTAAATGAATAGACCTCCTGGAACAAGGAACTCCCTGACGGGGCGGGCCATCGGTTTATCACCCAAGGCTGTATTCATCGCTTCGGGGTTTACCTTCGGACCATTGGAAATAAACGCAATGGGTGTGTCTTTTTTGGAGGTTACCCCTTTTTGTGGTTTTAGAAGGAAAATCAAAGGAACGCCGCAATTTTAGGGGGTGCCCAAAAACAAGATGAGTATGCCGAAAAAAAGAAGAAGCTCGGGACGCACGAATAATGGTGGTGTTCATTTGCTCTCCCCACCAAAACATCAAGCGGTCCCTCCACTGCTCGTTTCTTTGCGCAAACAAGCCACGGTCAAGAACCCAGTGACATGCTCAAAATGCTCGATCTGAATGTTGGTTTGGCCGGCTGTTCACAATGGAGGCTTGGCAAATCCGAATCCATAGTAGCAAGCCATTAACCTTTGGCTATGCAAATTGCCATTAGACCCGGTTTAAAGCTCAGATGCCCAGTGGCCTGAGAAAAAAAGGCACCCTTTTTGTTGTTGCTTGAATTCAAAAGGGGTTCCCCTTGCCCCAACAAAGTTGAAAAAAGGAAGCAACCCACTGGGAAACAGAGAGCAAAATCCAAAACTCCACCCACCCCCCGGAACCCTACGTCGTTCCCCCGGCCTGTGGCACCGGCGAATTGGAAGGTTGGGAGTCCTGCATGCAACAAACAAAGAGAAACTGGTACCAACTTGTTTGTTTGTTTGTTTGTTTGAGTGTGTTTATTGTTTGTTTGTTTGTTTGTTTGTTTGTTTGTTTGCTTGTTTGTTTATTTGTTTGTTTGTTTGTTTGTTTGTTTGTTTGTTTGTTTGTTTGAGCGTGTTTATTGTTTGTTTGTTTGTTTGTTTGTTTGTTTGTTTGTTTGTTTGTTTGTTTGTTTGATTGTTTGAGTGTGATTTTTTGTTTGTTTGTGTGTTTGTTTGTTTGTTTGTTTGTTTGTTTGTTTGTTTGAGTGTGTTTTTTGTTTGTTTGTTTGTTTGTTTTGTTTGATTGAGTGTGTTTCTTGATTGTTTGTTTGTTTGTTTGTTTGTTTGTTTGTTTGTTTGTTTGTTTGTTTGTTTGAGTGTGTTTTTGTTTGTTTGTTTGTTTGTTTGATTGAGTGTGTTTCTTGTTTGTTTGTTTGTTTGTTTGTTTGTTTGTTTGTTTGTTTGTTTGGTTGGTTGGTTGTTTGTTTGTTGTCTGTTTGTTTGTTTGTTTGAGTGTGTTTCTTGTTTGTTTGTGTGTTTGTTTGTTTGTTTGATTGTTTGTTTGTTTGTTTGCTTGTTTGTTTGTTTGTTTGAGTGTGTTTTTTGTTTGTGTGTTTGTTTGTTTGTTTGTTTGAGTGTGTTTTTTGTTTGTTTGTTTGTTTGTTTGTTTGTTTGATTGAGTGTTTGTTTGTTTGCTTGTTTGTTTGTTTGTTTGTTTGTTTGAGTGTGTTTTTTGTTTGTTTGTTTGTTTGTTTGTTTGAGTGTGTTTCTTGTTTGTTTGATTGTTTGTTTGTTTGTTTGTTTGTTTGAGTGTGTTTCTTGTTTGTTTGTTTGTTTGTTTCTTTTGTTTGTTTGTTTGTTTGTTTGAGTGTGTTTCTTGTTTGTTTGTTTGTTTGTTTGTTTCTTGTTTGTTTGATTGTTTGATTGTTTGTTTGTTTGTTTGTTTGTTTGTTTGAGTGTGTGTTCTTGTTTGTTTCTTTGTTTGTTTGTTTGTTTGTTTGTTTGAGTGTGTTTCTTGTTTGTTTGTTTGTTTGTGTGTTTGTCTGTCTGTTTGTTTGCGTGTTTGTTTATTTGTTTGTTTCTTTAATTGTTTGTTTGTGATTCAATGCTAATTGTCCAAAAAGTGGGATCAACTCAAGCATTCAGCTGCAAGCTGTGGTGGATGCCCTCAATGGGCATGTGCGGGTCCCTGGATAGCGGGTCCCGGAGCCAATACCAACTTTCGCGCATTGACCTCGCAATCCGGATACGTCTCCGAGAAATCCCCTAGAAACATATTGACTGTCCGCAAAAGCCACCGCTTTTTGTTGCTCCGGAATCCGCTGCTTCGCCTTGCTGCTTCTTCGTCTAACTAACTTCAACCTGGCGGTTGATGCCTTGGGGACCGAACTTGGATTTTCAAAAGGGGCTGAATCTGGGTGCTTTCGAACATGGGAAAAAGCAATCCATCCCCATTTGGCTTCCTCGAAGCATTACCCATGCGCTTACCGACTTTCAGAGTTGGCCGGAAAAATAAAGGAAAAACAAAAAAAAAAAAGAAAAAACAACTTGAGTATGGGCCAAAATCAAGTCAGGATATGGAGCGCAGATTCTAGTCCATTCATTTACCAGGGCGACCCATTTTGGGCTACCAATTTTTGACCCACAGCCACTTGTCGTTTGCCGACAAGGCCCTCCTAAAAGGCAAGCAAGTCCAACTCGAGCGAGTTTATCACCCCGAGCTTGGTTCCGCCCCGAAGGCTCGGCTGAAAACAGACCGCACCGGAGAGCCAAGTTGCTGCTTTTGACCGCGTTACTCAGTGAAGGGCATTGCAGAGAACTTGAAAAAGAAGAGTTCCTTCTTTCCCACATTCAGGTTATTTGGCATGTGCATGAATGAGTCTTCTCCAAATACAAATATAATAAGATATATTGAGATAAAAAACTGCTACGACATAAGGCATAGACTGACTTTTTCATTGACCACACTCATCTTTTTTATTGATCTGGAGCTACACTATGCTTGCAATAGCAGCCTGGATGTGGCCAACATGCTTCTGATCCAGGTTGTGTCATAGGTGGGTCTTTGTTGAGTCTCAGTACCTGTCCGAAGGACTTGGTTTCCCATACACCAAACAGAATCTATCAAAAGGACATCTATGCAACAAAGCAAGCCGGAGCCACCTGGGCATGTCTTTTTTAGGGGACCCTCAAAATGGATTTTGCCTTTTCCTTTTGGCTTCCCTTCAAAACCACCAAAAAAGGGGGTAAGCGCAACAAAGGAACCTCAAAGGGTGGTTTTGCTTTCGGTTTCCCTTCAAAACCGCCAAACGAAGAGAGGGGGGGGGGGGGGGTTGGGTTCCTTTAAAATCGCAAAAAGAAGAAGGGGCAAGCCCTAAAAAAGCCCCTCCGAAAAACGTGGCGTTCCTGCTTAAAACGTTTAAAACCACCCAGAAAAACCGGGGGGTGCACCGTCCCAAAAAAAGAAAACGACGAGCATTCCGAAGCGGCGGTTTCTTTTTCTCGCGCCTTGGCCGGCGTCGAGGTCTGGAGCTCCTTCATCTTCTCGATGTCCTGAGTCGAGTCGACTGGCCCCGGTTTGAAGGAAAAAACACCGCCAGGGATCATTTCCCTGGGCTGTCCTCGTTTTTTCTTTCTTTCTTTCTAGGCAATTGAAGACTTCCGTGCCAGAAACCACGGCCATGTTGCCGAGGATATTGCGGGATTGGAGGCGGCAGCGCCCACCAAAACAAACAAGAAACCAAAAACCAAAACCCTGCTTAAAAGTCTAACCTTTATTGGGTGAAATGGAAATCCCCACTAAAACCCTAAAAAACTAAAAAGCTAAGGGGATGGCTGGGAGCCACCAAGTTCCCTAAGCCAGCTGGACAGCCCAGATGAATGCAGTTGCTGCGAAACACGAACAAATAATATTGCAAGTGACAGATAATCCTTCATTGCTGCGAAGTTCACCACTCCCGCAAAACTCCCGTGAGTCAAAAAACATCCGAGGGGGCGAGCCATCAAACCGGTCGGTCTTAACACTGAGGGGTAGGCACACGGAAGGGTTACATATTGGGGCTGGAAGCACTGACAATCACCAAGAAATATATTTTTGGCGTTTTACAGGGTGGTCAGGCTGAGGATCGGTAATAAAAGCGGCCTCATTATTTTCCCATGATCAAAGTCATCCCGTAGGTGGTGGGTTAAAGGCAAACAACCCCATGTCTGACTTTGATAATCCCCAGAAACAGTCAAAATAATGACCCCTGTAACAACAAGTCATAATCCCAGAACCATGCTTCCAGACTTACAGAGGCCAAAGCACCCAGTTCTTGGTTGGGAAAAAGTCCCTTACTAACCCTCATCTACGCCGAGTTTGGAGCACGTGGCTCAGGTGCGATCGGACAGAAACTCAGCGTCCTTCAGCCGAATCGATGGCTTTTGTAGATGAAAAGGGGGTGGGAATCCCATTTACCCACAAGAACCAAAAGCTGTGATTAATTGTTTCTTCAAGATCTGGACGTATCCGATCCGCATCATTCAAAACACCTACATTCTAACTAGGTGCCTTTGATAATGCGTAAGGTGGGAATTCACTCAAATCAAATCATGTGCTTCTGTTGGAAATAAGACAACACCCACACAATACCATAGAAACGACCCACTTGCAAATGAAGGATTAACGGTTGACAAAGTAAATCAAGCAAAACATCATATTGTTCAATCGCCACAAGCAGCATTCATTAAAAACCAAAAAAGACAATAAGCAAAGCGATCGAAGAGGAAACACTATATAGACACTATATAACCCTTATGTAGACACTATTTATAACTAGATAATCTATATAAAGGAAATATGTTCCATTTCCCCTTGATCAGGGAGGTCTGGGGCCAGTTGGGATGGAGCACCTATCACCCGGTACGAAATTGCGAAGTGGATTGTGTAGCTCACAAAGGTTCCATAGCTCCAGTGCTAGGGAGGAAAAAACCGTTGCTTGACAACACAACTAGCTGCAAATTGATTGGGTCCCCAAATAAAGCAACCAAAATTGCGTCAAGTCCCAAATTGAGCTATGTGTCCAAAACGTGATTCTGAGAATTGGATCCCCAAATCAAGGATCTTTAGCACTGTAAGCTCGTTTTGCCCCCGAATCGGTGAATGGTCAGAACTATAGCCGTAGCGCCGTAGTCCCGAATAAGCCAAATCCAAAAGACCTCAAACGGTTGAGGGCGTTCTGGGGGTCACTGGCCTGCTGGGAGCAGTTGTAGGCGTCGTAGATGGGAGGGATGTAACCCTTCTGGCAGAAGCTGTCCAGCTCCTGGACCGTTTTCGAAGGCAGTGAGTTCAGAAGTTCTTTGTCAAGATGGGCTCAAACTTCCGGCCCTAAGGCAGTCTTTCAACTAAGCCCTAGCTGTTGGTTTGGATTGGTGGGCATTTGAAGGTCTAGTCTTCATCGGCGGACGCCAGCGATTGAGGATTAGCCCATTCTTGAGAACAGAAAGGGCTCGGGGTTGGGCTCTTGTCATAGGTGTCCTTTTTGAGGAGAAGAAAAAAAGGTGCATAAAACCGCCATGGGGCGATTAAATGCATAAATCCGTCTCTAGGGATCTGTTGTCAATGGATTTGGGTTTTCCTGGGTAAATACATCATCCCAATCTAAACCAGTGGTTGACATGAATGGATCCCTTGCTAAAGTTGTAATATTTAGCGGGTACAATGGAACTGGGTTGACGTTGGAAGGGGAGCAACAATTTAAATTTTAGCAGTTCAGTGGGGAATTCCCACTAAACCACCATAAGCCAAAAATGTAAAATGTTTCTCAACAACCATGGGAAACCCCACCACTGAAATAGTTTAAGCACCTACGGAACCGGATGGCTGGGAACCAGCAAAACCAGATGGCAGGGGGCGGGTTCTTGTTATCCACAAGTTGAAGCCCGGTCGAGAACTTCTCGACAAATTTATATCCAACGCACTGTTTGTCTGAGTTCATATGTGAGACTCTGAAAAAAAGAGCCGTAAATCAACACCAATGGTACCATTTTGGGGTAGGTGCACCACCCACTTTAGTCTATTTTAGTGGGGATGGGGATGTTCACTGGGGGTATGGAGTTTTGACCCATGGCCATATCACCATCCGGCATGGGACCACCCAAAACCCAAAGATCTACAGGACTAGGGGTTTACCTACCTCTTCCAGAAATGGTCAACCCCACACCACGCTCGTGTTCGAATAGCGAACACAAACCTGCCTCCCGCTCCTTGACGGTTGCAGGGGGGTCTTTTGTGGGCGTAGGGTCTAGGTTTTGTTGGCACCCCTTTGCGGATCCCAGCAATTTTGAATCCCGTGTAAGGGGCCACTGAAAACGCAAAGCTCATCCAAGGCATCTTATTCGTAAATTATTTGACAGCCGAGCGCGGAAGCTCTTCAGCAGAACGGCTCCAGAAAAGCATCTTGTTTAAGGCACTTGTTTAAGTTCAGCCCTGAAACCTTGGTTGACGTTGGAAGGGGAGCAACAATTCTCAAATTTTAGCAGTTAAGTGGGGATTTCAACCACTAAATCACAATAAGCAAAAATGTAAGAGATGTTTCCCAACGACAACCATGAATTGAAACCGCTGACCCGCTGGAAACCAGACCCAAGACCTTTTCAAAGAAATTCACTTCCTGGGGAGCCACTGAACAACTGAGTTTAAGTTAAGCCCTGAAACTCGTGTTTCCACAGTTCCCGGCTACGAAAACGGCTTGGATTCGGGGCGGCCAAGCAGACTCACCCGAATCACGCCGCTCGCCTGGATCTCGTGCCGTATCTTGCTGGCCTGCGGGTATCGGACATGCTGGGGCAGAAGCTTGGGTTTTTTTTCAAGTTCTTCTCCAAAAAGCCGCAAATGGTGGGGTGCAGCTGGTTGCAGCTGGTTGCGTGTTGTATGTGTTCAGTTCCCATGTTGGGTTCCTCATCGCTGTTCTTTTGGATTCTCGATTGCCTTGTAACCAGTGCGCAACAGGTGATTCACTTTCTGTTGCATCCACGTGTTCAACCAACAAGTTAAAGGTGAAAGATCCAAGCAAGTTTCAGCTTCAGTAGCAAGTTTCAGCTTCAGTGGCTTCCCATTTGGCCTCTACAAGAACCAGTTCAAATCCCCAAACCAGCCCAAACAACCGATTCGAAGTTGCCTGAAAGTTGCAAGCCTTTTCTTGAAGAGCGAAGCTTGGGTTCCAGTCCGAGCCACCCGCCCCCAGGTTCGCGACAGATCTGAACTCTCAACATTGCGGTTGGACCCGCCACAGGCCGTCCGACCGGTGCCGAGTGAACGGACTGATTGAGAAACAAAGCCTTCCCTGAGTTTCCCGTTTGGTGATGCGTGAGCAGCACCTTTTGGCAAACAAAAGGCTGAGCTGCCTTCGGTGCAGTGATTCTCATAGAAGCTTATCCCTCGGAACTCCTTTTGGGGACCGGGACTTGCCGGCCACTCTTTCTGCCGGCGCTTTTGTTTCAAGGGAGAGACCCCCCGAACAAAGACAGAAAAACACGTTGCGGCCATCCTTGGCTGAGAACTGGCCAGGGTTCAGAGGTGACCACGTTGCGGCCAGACTTAGACACCAGACGAGTGGCTCGTGGGAAATGAACCCTCACCAAAAAAGAAACGGTGAGAGAGGGCACCTAGCTGCAAAAAACCTAGATGAAGGAAACCACGAAGAAGGCAAGCTGAGTCCACGGATAAGAGGTCAATTCGCTCGCAACTGAGCCAGTTCACTTGGCTCGAACCTGCAAAGTATGGGGCAAGCTTCTGGAATCTTGACTAAACTAAGCCGCAGAAAATCCTGCCGGGAACCGTCCAGGAACCTTCCCCGCAATCATCCAAGATTGGCTAAAACCCCGTAGCTGCTGGAGAGAACGCACAATTGTAAAACCAAAACTTGATTTTGCTTAAGTTATTAAGATCCCTAGAAAACCGGAAATCGATTGTTTAAAGATACAGACCTTCTAGTAGTGAAATTGATTCCCTCTAAAACCAACAAGGGAAATATAACATATTATTAAGCAAATGGAAGACAAGGTCTAAAAAGGTTGGCTTTGAGCAACTCAGAATGCAGGCAACTTCCTGCTGCGAGGACGACTTGTTTTTGCGCACCCGCCTCCTCATCGTAATTTGGTGAGTGCATTTGGCCAACCGAGGTCGGAGTCCCCACGTGGGTGTTTGACCAAGTTAGGTGGTCTGGTTTATAACCCACAAACAACAAGCGACAGGTGCGAAGCTCAATTTCCAGCCTCCTCAGTGGACCTCTGAATGGAGCGATACACCTGAGTCAGAAGAAAAAACTGGGCCAAACCCAGAAACCTGCAAAAGTTGTATAACTGCTTGCTAGCAGTTGTTGATTGAAAGGGACAAGTGAAACCAACAAGGCAAACTGTTTAGGATAAGCCAACTGGGCAAAGTACGCTATCTACACACAAGTATCTGAAACAAGTGAACCCTCAAAGGGACCCTTGGCATGGGTGAAGTCGCACACAAAACTTTGTTTGCCCCTTCACAAGTCTGGCGCAGTTGACAGATCAAAAAAGCGGCCCCTTACTTCGCGGGGTTGTCCTTAGATCTGCTCAAAGTCGAAAGCCTTTTCGTGGGTTCAATGGAAACACCCAACAGAAGGGGATGGCTCGCAACCACCAAGTAAGACATGCTCATGGTTTTATCGGTGCTCATTGTGCTTCTCCCATCCAACAAGGAGTTCCAACTAATTCGAGTCAAAGCTCCCACATGCTCTGCCATTGACTTCTGGTTCCACCAAGATGGTGCTAAATACTCATCTTAGCCTTACACAAATCAGGGAGCCTCCTGCCGCCCCCCCCCCCCCCACCAATATTTATATTGGCCTTACCACAATCAGGGAACCTACCCCCCCCCCTCCGCAAACAAATGACAAAAAAAAAGAAAGAAAAACAAAAAACAATGCAACAAAAAACCAACCGAGCAAAACAAGACTCCTCGGTTACGGGGCCAGCCTCCTGAAAGCCAAACTTGCAGCGAACAATGATGCGGGCCTTCTTTTCACAACCAAAACCCCGGCTCAGTGGCACAAAGGACCCAACAAGAAAAGGTGAGTACCATTTGGCAGTGGCTCAAAATGCAAGAGCTGGGGGTTACGCAGGTTTTGGTCCATGTTTCCACTTACCAGGGTTCCATTTTGGTACCGGTTTTCTGAGCCACTGCCATTTGGGGCCATGACCCTTTTGGTTCCATGACAAAGAATGGTTGCCAAACAGGGGAAACCAGATCCCGTCGATTGATCCGGTCGATTAACACTTTGGTTGCAAGTGAGCCGGAAGGACTAGCTTTGGAATCAAAAAACATTGACTAGGTCCTCCAGTAGAGACTATAGAATAAGGGTACCAACTTGTTTCGGTCGTCTATTTTAGGGGAACCCTCCCCCAAAACAGAAGCTGTCGGAAAGGGCACCAATTGCTGGGGGACCTAGTTGAACAGCATGGAAAGGGGCGCCGTTTCCGAGGCGGGAAAAAAAAACTGAGCCATGCGCCTGCTCGTAGACGAGCTTCAAGTTGGTCTCGCGCTCATCGGGACCGGTGTTGATCTGGGCCTGGCCCAACACCCAGAAAGCCAATCTCAAGGGACTTGTTTTTGAAACACCCATGCTGAAACTACTGTCCTCGGATCCCCTGCTAGAGTCGAAGCCTTTCAGGGCTGTGGGAAATGGAATCCACTTCTGTGATACAACAAAAGGGTCTCCCAAAGACTACCACCCCCATTTAAACAGGGGATTCCCTATCACAGAGGTGCTTGGATAAATCCCGAGCGATCAACCACAACCCTGAACCCTTTTGGTGGGTTTGATGGAAGCCCAAAGCCACAACCCTCACACCGGACCGGACGGCCGGAACCTCAACCCCGCCATTCACGAAGCGTGGCCCATGGGAGAGAGGACTCCCGATCCATCCACCTTTCCCCACGAAACCCGCGATCCCAATTTGGCGAGCAAAAGGTGGTGTGTGAAAACGATCTTTAACTCCTGGTTGCTGAACATGAGGAACTTCCCCCTTATCATCATAAAGCTGCCAACGCTCAACAAGTCTGCATATGCTAGGGGCTCTGTTGCGTGAGCTCTCTTGAGTCTAGAATGAGGATTCCATCCTTATCCAAGCTAAAGGCTTTCGGAATGTGGAGCGTGGCTGGGCAAATAGGGCTTCAGATATCTACGTCCGCTTGTCGCTCTGCTTCCTCGTAGTCGCATGCGCGTCTGCTCAAAACCAGTGTCCCGCATGTGATGGCTGGGACATTTCTCAGGATTGAAGGCTTGCTGCTTGTGCAAAAGATATCCTCCCATGCTTCAGCAAAGGGCTTGCTAAACGTACGCGGTGATATGTGCCATGGTCAGTGCTGCATGTGGCAGCATGGTAATCAGAACCGCCCTAAATGGTTGTCTAATCGCCATTTCGTGGGTTGATGACAGTACATCCCTATCAACCCCAAGTAAAGGGAAGGGGTGTGTCTCACACATATTGCTCCAACTAAACATGCACAGTGATGTTGACCCACAGTTCATCCACTGCGATCAGATGTTCGTGAGTAATTAACACCCATTTCCCAATGGCGTGTTGGTGAGTGTGGCAAATGTAATTCCGTTGACTACGGTAGATGACAGCACACATTTTGGCCGCTCATATCAACATGATTGTCGCGAGTTCCTCTGCGAGCTGTTCACGTCAGCTGGCGTTGCGAAAATTACCCCCCATCCCGAGATGCTAAACATGAGTGATGAACAGAAACCATATTCTTGGGAGGATATGTTTGGCCCAAGCAGCGATTCCCACCAAGGCCCCCCAGTAGTGCCGCCTTTTTGCCCATTTTTTGGGGGAGGGTTCCGCGAGCTGTTCACAGCTAGCGTGGCGAACATTCCCCTCTCGATCCCAGCCACGATCATCACTCTTGGTATGGTAAAAACTTTGTTTGTTGCAGACCCCCAGTAAAAATGAGAACAGAACCCACAAAAACAAAAAAAACTGGAAAAAAACACATGCCAAGAACAGTGAAGACTATGGTAGGTAACCATTAAAGGCTAGTTCCCAAAGTCTCCCTGGCAGCGCCAGTCAAAATCGAAATGCAAGTGCACCCCAGACAAACAAACCCAAGCTTATGGGTGCTCAATGGCACATCTACCCAGTGCTTCCAGTTACCCCTATAATAGGTGACCAGTTGTGTTGTCCTTAATTCTATATGATGGGTTTTCTTACCTACTATAGTGGCTTGCCTGGAACTACTTTCCAAAAAGAAGGATATTCAGATCCAAGGACATGAACAACTATCAGCGCCGCAGACTTTTCAAGCGCAGTCGCCAGGTCTGCCGAGTGAGCGAAGCTATTCGGCAGCTCGTTGACCGCGACACTCTGGTCATCTCTGGCGCGCTAAAACCGGGATCTGATTGACCCCATATTTTGCTCCTTGGCCCAACTCTGGGGTAAACAGATCATATTTTCTTCAGATTCTGCCTTAGCATTCTTCCACCAACCCTACTTACAGCTAACATTGAACTTCGAACTTCGGAGTTCGAAGAAGACAATCCATGGGTCCCGGTCCCGAGAGTTGCCGAGCATGAGAGTTGCCGGAGTTGGGCGAGACTTCCTCAGGCGACGCCCCAGGTCATTCGATTCCCCAGGTCCTTCCTCAGGCGCCGCGAGGCGTGAGGCGCGAGGCGCTGGGAGCTCCATCTTACCTGCGGGGACGACTGGACCAAATCGATCCCATCTGGTATGACTCAGATTCTAAAAGTTGACTCCTTTTCCATTAGTTTCAACCCTCGTTCTTTCATATTCTTGCCTTGGCCCAAAGGCATGACTCAGATTCTACTTGGTTGACGTTGGGAGGAAGGGGAGCAAAAAATATCAAAACAAATTAGCAGTTAAGTGGTTGGATTTCAACCACTAAGCCACAATAAGCAAAAATGTAAAATGTTTCCCAACGACAACCATGTCTAGAGGTTGATTCCTTTTCCATTCTGTTCAACCCTCATTATTTTCAAAGACCGGCTGTTTCCCCCTGGGATTTTGATGGGTTCCTGAAAAGAAGGATCCCTGGAAAGAATGGGGAAGGTGCCCCTAGACAGATGTCCGGTAACCATGCGGGAAAAAGGGCATGTTTTTTGTTTTTTTTGGTTGGTTGACTTTACAGGGGAGCCCTCCCCAAAAAAAGGAAAAAAAAGGCACCACTGGGCAACTGGGATGAACTTTTTGAATTCAGGACCCTTTGGTGGAGAACATTTACATGGGTGTGGATTTAAATTAAACAGCTGGGGCAAACCGCGGGGTTTAGCCTTTGTGCCATTTTGGGGACTCTGTTTTTTGAGCCACCGCATAGGGGATTCATGTCCACCGAGCGGTTTGGGCTTTGGGGTTCTCAGTGAAAATTCATCGCGTCAGAGAAAGAACAACAAACACATCACGAAGGCAGAAGAAAGGGGTCCATCTAGGTGAATTATCATCTGGGCTGTCCGTGTTCGGATCCCCCGCTAAAAGTCCAGCTGTTAGTGGGTTGAATGGAAATCCAACCACTAAACACTAAACAATTAAAAACCTAACGAACCGGATGGCTGGGAACTGTGAGGTCGCTAGAATTCTCCCAGGTCCAGTGAGGCTTCCCTCTCACTACTCTTCGGACCCTGCTGCCTTGCGAGAGACAAGCTGTAGGGCTTCAAAGACGGCGCCTCCTCGCAAGTGAGTCTCCTCGCAAGACGGCGTCTCCTTCAAGCTGATTCCGGCCCTTGTGCCGCAGTTTTCTTCGCTGGGTATCAGTGTAAAACATATCAACCAAACCACCTGAAGCTGATTCTGGCCTTTCATCATTTGAGTCATAATCAAAACCCTTTGTATTACAATGGTCGTAATCCCAGAAGCATGCTTCAAGAATTAAGAAGGCGGATATCCGCAGCCATTTATGGCAAGGGGATTGTCCCTTACCAACCTGCACTTACCCGGGTTTTGATTGTGACTCAAGTGCTGTGCCAGGTGTGTCCTGATGGAATTTCGGCTGCGCATCCGTCATGAGGTACCCACAGAATGAGGCAGGGTTGCCAACGCATTTGATTTGCCCAGCTTCGACCTCCCTGCGCACTTCTTCATTTGCTTGACGTGTATGAATCAAGACGTTGAGACTCCAGACGAAAGCAATGCTTCCGCAGTAGGCGAGAAGCTTAGACACATCGCAGCCTTTTTGTCCGCCTTTGGTCAAGGCTCATTCACAGGCAGCCGCATTTTCTGCTCCAGACATGGAACTGTGGCATTCCAGCTTCATCGGATCGCACTTCAACCATATTCCATTAACTGCCAGGTCCAGGTGTATTGAAGTTGGCGGTGCCAAGAGTTTGTCAAATATAGTCAATTGTACAAACACCAAAAACCACTTCAGGATAACAATGAGATGGACTTGCTTTTTGATGCTTTTTGCCTCCCGCTCCAGTCCAGACCGCCTTTCAGTTTCACTTGTCAGCATTAGCCACGACAAGCGCAGTCTGGAGAGTCTGGATTTTGACCCAGACTATCACCCAGACTATCACAGCAAACGCCAGTGGCCCACGTGAAACAGGGCGCCTCGCTAAGAATTTCCCTTCTCGGGTAGTTGACTTAGGGATTGATCAATAATCATTTCCCCCAGTTTTGACCATGGAAAACTGTTCCCATATTCAGTGGTTGACATGTATCATCTGTTTGGTGGTTTTCCAGCCAATGGTCATTCCATGTTCATCACACCTTTTGATCAACCCACTCAAAAAAAAAAAAAAAAACCTGCAAAAACAAAGTGGGGGACACCCCTTCAAAAAAAACCAGGCCGCACTGGGCGTGGACCCGCGATCACAAGCTCAACCAGAAAGCCAGTGTAGTGAACCAAGATATCGCACAGCGACTGGGCTGGCCACCTCGGCCCAGACCAGGAAATGAAAAGCTTACCCTTTGGGACCTTTAATGTTAACCCCAACGACAAACCCCACCCACTAAACCAACTAACAGGCTAAAAACCCAAGGAACCGGATGGCTGGGCTTGCCACCAAATCATGTGAACCCCGGAGGAATAAACCCCCGGTTGATGAATAGGGGGGTGTCCAATTCCTTGCAGTGGTTGGATTCAGACCACTTTTGGAGGCAACACCCTCCCAACTAGAAAACGGGTTAATTAATCCTGGGCCGGGTCAACAGTACAATGAACCAACATGAGTCACAATGAGTCCTAAAATCGTCTGCTGGGAGCCAAAGAATTCAACAGCTGTCACATGCGAGCAGGGGGTCTTTTTGTGCGAAAATTGGCGACCCCCTTAAAATGAAATCCTTCACTACAAGGGATCGAACAACTTTCCACAAATTGTGGCAAAAAGGCCCCTCTGCATGCGAAAACCTTGAAGTGTCAAAAGGTCGACTCGCTTGCAAGTGAGCTGCTGGTGAACGCACTGTTGAATGATGTCGTGGAGGTTGTGGTGGTTGAGACGACGCCAAGTGGCTGCTGCTGTGTGGAGCAATGAATGCCACCGCCTCCATAAGCAATGACATCCACGTCGAGACTTTCCACGGCACGACCAGGGTAAAGTTCTTGCAGCTTGCTCACTGCAGCTGCATCTGTGACAGCATCTCCGAAATTCTGCGCCACAACCACGCCATTGCCTCAGCTGCCCACCAAAGGACCCAGAAATAAACGGTGATCATGTTGTTTGGCGCCTACTAACTAAAACACCTTTGGGCCGAAAATGGAAAATTCCCAAAGGTCGCATTCATCCGGTCGATTCGCTCCTCTACTAAACATGGCGGCCAAAACTGGAAACCAAAACTGGGCTGTCCTCAGATCCCCCCTAAAAGTTTAACCTTTAGTGGGTTAAATGAAAATCCCCACTAAACACTAAAAAGCTAAAAGGCCAAGGGGATGGCTGGGAGCCACCAAGAAAAGGTCAACTCGCTTTGCAAGTGAGCTGCCCACATAGTAATTGATGTAGCTGGCGGCGAAACCTGCTGCTGCCGCGCCCGAACTCCAGGCAGGTCGGATGTTCCTGAGAGTGACGTCCCCGGTAGCATATTTTTTTGGCGTGACATGTGGGGGTTGATCAATCTTCTCCCAGACTCAACCATGGATAACTTGTCTCTTATTCAGTGGATGACGTATATCATCTGTTTGGTTTACATGTGGGGGATGATCAATCTTTCCCTGGGCTCCCAGTTTTGACCATTTCGTAACTTCTCCCAGTGGGATGCATCATCTTCCATTTGGTTAAGACCCCTGGACCAAAAAAAAACACATATTTCCAGTAGTGATAGATTCCCTTTAAAGCCAACAAAATACACAAATATTCTGAAGCAAATGGAATTCATTTGTTATTGTGTTTTTGGTGGTTTTCCAACCAACGGTCATTCCATGTTCATCGGACCTTTTGATCATCCCACTCATAAATCAACGCCAATCTCAATTGCTTAAAGGACCCAGAAACAAAAGATGATTACCTTTATGGGGCCAAGACGTCAAAACTGGTTGCCAGGGGAAACCAACACGCCAAGGCCTTTACCTTTTCAAAGGCGGAGGGGGGTGGGAAATTCCCCCAATTTCATTCCTCCAGTCCCATAAAACAGGAACATGTGAAAACTGCCAAACATGGAGATCTCCCGTCGAAATCCCCCACCCCCCCAATCAATCATCTGGAAGGGATGAACCGCCAAGGTTCGATGGGTTGTCCAGAATGTGGACTGTGAGACTTCGACCTCGGGTCGCGGACTCGAGGGGTGCGGAGTACCCTTCGAGTAATCTCGGCCGAGTGGTTGCCAAAAACAAGGCAACCACTCACTTCCGAAGAAGTGGATGGCCCAACTTGTTCTCTTTGCCTAAACACCAGGAACTTGTTCTTTGCCACCAAGATGGCAACCAAACCCAAGAGTGACTCAAGTCCGAAACGGAGCTCAGGGAGTGAGCGCTTGGATGATTCTTCCAAAAAAACAAACAAACAAAACCGGCGACGCATCGCGTCGGTCGACCCGCCTCGGGCATCTGTGGCGGCCTGCAGGTCAGCGATCACCTGGCGAGTCACCTGGTAGTCGTAGATGCTGCTGTCCTCGGTTGCTTTCTGCTCCCCTGCGAAAAGTTGTTCACTTTTAGTGGTTGAATGGCACGCTATGTGCAGCCGGAGACACCTATGTTTCCTGGTTTAATGGAAACCCATTTGTTGGCAAAAGTCAAAGTCCTGACATCCAAGCAAAATGCACCAAAGTGTCGTTCTCTCGAGCCGCCACCACCACACCTGGTGAGGTGAACCGGGCGTAGAAGTCGATGTGCGCGTCAGTGATGTCCTTTCCAATGATCCCATCTGTCCAAATCACCTTCTCCACGCCCAAGGTGTCATAGAGCTCGCTCTCCTGGGCCCCGGTTTGTTTTCGCTGAGATCCGCTCGAGAAGTGCTCAACCAATTTGTGGGCGAAATGGAGGAAAAACAACTGCCACCTATAGACACACAAAAAAAAGAGCTAAAAGGCTAAGGAACCGGATGGCTGGCTTCGCCACCAAGCTTCCACATCAGCTTCGGACCAGCCAGGGTTGCGGTTAGTGTTGATGACGGAGCTGCGAGTGAGGATCGCCGTTCCTTCGCCGTCCACTTCCACTGACCCTCCTTCCATCACCAAGGCGGATCTCACATAGCTGGCCCCACTCCAAGCCGCGACATGTGCGGCCACCTTGGCATCGTTGGAATGGGGGTTTTGCTTGTTTCCCCAGCCGTTGAAGTTGAAATCCACGCAAGACAAAGGAGCGGACGGCCAGGTGTGGCTCACTGCTTGCCCATATACTGCCACGCAATCGCTGTAGTTGTCACATCCGCTGTATGAAAAAATACAACTGGTGTCACGCATCCATAGGTCATCCACCTAAGTGCAGTTGCTTTATGGGATCCTATCTGAATAGTGAAGTCACTCAACAACTCACCAAATGCATTGGCACTCTGAGCTTGCCGGAATTGTCCAGGCTTTGGCCAAGTTCAGTCTTGCCCAAAGTCTATATGTTTTTGTTGTTGCAGCTGTACGCCTAGAGAGCACGAGCTATACACAGCTGTACGGTCGTTCTGTTTCTTGGCGTTGATACCAATAGCTGCAATCCAGAAGCACAACCAAACTGCCTATGAGTTCAATAAGAAACATATGTTGCTGGCACAAACATGTGCAACAGTGAAGGGGGCCCTAAACGGATTCCAGGAAACCAATTCCAGCTTCCCCATTTGGGGTTTCACGCAAACCTTGTTGGGGTTTGACAGGCGAGCGCCTGAAATTCCACCATTTCGACGGAGCTGTTAAGCTGGCTCGTCATGTACACCACATCGCGAGGACTGACATAGATAGCTACCGGCTGGTACTTCACCAGAGTATTTGCCAACAGCGCAAGGGCGCCTTGGACCGCCGCAGTGTCATCGCCCCAAATGGTGCTAGAAGCGGCGGACATGAAGACCCTGGTCTGCTGTGCAGCCTCCTCTGGCATCAACAGACCCGCAATGCCGCAGACATGCAGAATTGCGCAGAAAGCGAGACGCCGCATGGTGACCACTGCAATTGGATGCAGTGGCCAAAGGCCCTGAGCCAAATCCCCGCTTCGAAACTCCTCTCATACACTGGTTGCTCTGTCACGCCATGCCTCTATAACGGTCTTCATTTAGTCACATTCCGTCTCCGGCCGAGACTCTGACTGCGCTGTCAAAACGCAGCACGTGAGTCACTTTCAAAGCCTCGAACACTTGTTTATGGATGGGACGGTTTCCTAACTTTCACCGCCGCCGGGGTTTGGTTGTGGCTCAAATGTCTTTCTCAGAGGGCAGGCACACCCCACTTTGAAGCTGCCAAATGCACTAGAACTTTTATCCATCATGTCTCATGTTCAATATCATCCTCCTCCTCATCCTCCTCCTCATCCCCCGTCATCAACAAAAACAAATATATGTATATATATATATATATAAAGAACACCAATTTAATGAAGTCAGCAATCACAAAACACTCGGCACCATCAACACCACCAGCATCATCCTCATCATTCGCTCCAAGTCCATCCTTTGCCACCGCTGTCATCGCTTTCTGCTAGCACATGATTTGCTCCGCACAAGAAAACACATTTGGTTGTTCCGTAAGTTGTGCGGGCACTTTGGGTTGCCCCCTTGTCCTCTCCAAATGTTGCTCATGATTCTCCCCCCCTGTTTCCTATGTTTACCCCTTAATAAGACGCTAATCACCGTATGAAGGCAAACAAGTAGAACCACCTAAGTGGTCAAAGCGGGTCTTGGGGGCAGCTCACATGGCTTCACATGGGGGGTTGTTCTACATTCCTCCCAGCTTTTGTTCGCCGAGAATTAAAACCGACTGGGGTTTTAGGACGGCCCTTGGCCATGAATTGCAGTGGAAATCGAGCCCCTTTGAGAGTCGTTGGTGGACAGAAATTGCCATGATGTCCACCCAGGTAAAAATTCCCACCCACACACGCCGTGTTTTTTTTTGACCTCCTGCGGGATGTCAACGCGGAAAGCCCAAAGAAGTCGCTCAAAAGCATAGACGGATACTCTGACTGAACCACCACGGTTGCTGTCCTTTTGGTTTTCCCTTGAAAACAGCCCAGCAACGGGGTACCCAAAACAGAAGTTGCCAAACCCTTGGAGCCGCAATCAAAACCCAGGTGGATGAAGGATTGGAGACGCCCCTTGCTCACTTTCTGGGTGCCTTTCAGTTTTGAAGCATGGTTCTAAAATTACGACCGTTTTAATACCGATCCGTTCTGATGACTCACCTGGACCGCCCTTTAAAAGACCAAAAGGAGATTTGTTCTGCCAGTGCTTCCGGGCAAGCCATAGGAAACCCTGCGGCATGGCTACCTCTGGGTTTTACTACCCATCGGTTTTGATTACTTGCCTGGAATTAGGACCCCAGCAAAACAATATCTTTTTTGCCTGGTTAGTGGAAAACCAAGAGACCCCAAAAAAGCAAAAAAGCAAAAAAGGCTATTTCTGGGGAAGATTAGGGGGATTTCTCGCACCCGCTCCTGCGCTCCGACTCACGGACTCACAGCTCACTCGATGTCTCCCATCGCCGAAGCATGCGCCGCACAGCTGCCACATAGACATCGCAGCCCACCACCAGATCTGCCTCCTAAGGTATGAGCCGTAATCAAAATGATGGGTGACTCACCAGGTTTGAGGGACCCTTTTTGGGGTTGATGCAAAATCAACACCAGGTTTGGGGGTCACCCTATTTTGACACATATCCATATCTCAGTTGCCAAAGGACCCAGAAACAGAAGGTGATCCCTTTTAGCGGCCAGAATTGGGAAACCAAAAGGTCAAAAGGTCGATTCGCTTTGGGCAAGTTAGATGAATACGAGGAAACATTTTAACCGGAAAGCCTCAAACTAGCCCGATTCCTTTCGGATGAAGCCACAAAGGGTAGCCTCAAAGAAAAGCCCGTCGGTGGGTTTCCACAAAAAGGTGCAAACTAACCTCGGTTGCTGTCCTCAGATCCACTGCCCAAACTGTTCTTATAATTATAGCGGGTTGAGGGAAACCTAATCACTAAATCCCCTGCCAAACAAAGTTTGACAATTGTGGCGGGTTGAAGGGACTCCTAACAAACACACTAAAAACCCGAAGGAACCGGTCGATTCGCTGGGAACCGCCAAGGTTATGAGCGATTCAGGCGGCCTCGAGCACAGAGGCCCATTGCCTTGTGACGAGTGAGGCTTTTGTTCTCATGGCTCCCGGTACGGCAAGTAGCATCAAGGCAGAAATGGCCCAACTGGTAGGGGCGCAACAAATACTAAGCCTACGTGGTTTAGCACCTGAACCCAACGAATCCGTCAAGACAATGAGAGTCCCACGGTAAAAAATAACTTTCACGGCAATTCCCATTTCGCGTCAATTAGTGACTTCTTAATTGACTTGCAAAATTAACTTTTCACGGCTACGGCAACGGCAAAAAAAACGCGGCAACAAAAACGGCAACGGCAATTTTGGAAGTAGTTACTGCGAAACTACTGCGCTGGAGCTAATTCCGCAGTAGTTTGGAACTAACTACTGCGAAACTACTGCGCTGGAGATAATTTCGCAGTAGTTTGGAAGTAATTAATAACTGCGAAACTACTGGGACCACGGCGCATAGCCGGCCGTGTAGTTTTAACAAGGCACTGTCTTGCATTGTGGTTTTTAACCCTTGTTTACAAGGGGTTTCGCACATGTTGGCAAGATGACTCGATTATGCGTCAATTCCAGTGGGATGAGGAAAAACATGTTTTTCCCCCATTGTAAATCCATTCGAAATCGACACTTGGCAAATCCCGGCGTCTACTTGAAGAGTGCACTAGTTTCCTTCTTCCACACACCTCGATTCATATGTGACCGTGGCAGGCTGCCAGCTGCCATGGAGTAACTTATGCCAGGCAAACTTCCAGCTGCCACGCATTTTCAAATATAGTGCAAACAGAGTTTGGAAAAAGTCTGGGGTGGCAAACCATGGATGGCCTAAAATGAGTAACTCTGCCCAGGAGCTGTATTGTGTCTTGCTGGAGGTCAGTCACTGCGGCAGCTTTCCCAAGTACACAGGGCTCAGAGATGACCGGGCCAGGGCGTCGAAGACGTTGGCTCAGAACAAAGCAAGCACAAGCGCAAGCCAAAGGCAAAGGTGCCGGCGAAGAAGCAGCGTGAGAGGCCCACGCAGCACGAAGCACAGGCACCAGTAGCGGAAGTCGCGCCCAGTCAACTGGAGACCGATGACTGATCAAGCCTGTCGCCTGCGTGAAGCGCACAACAGGGTCAGCCGAGGCGTCCAAGGCAAAGATCTCTTGATGCGCGTCCAGCAAGCCAGGGTCAGCTGTAAACAGCACCTGCAGCAATGCCTCGTCCCTGCTAGAATGGCAAGGAGGAGGCCCTTGATGACACAGGCGCAACAAGATGATGAAGGTCAAAGCAAGCGCGAAAGCAGAAGCATCGTCCATAGCCCCCCAAGAAAACAAACTCCCCGGCTGCCGAGCCAACGGCAGAAGATGCGGCCTGTGAGCAAGGAAGGGAACACAGGAAATGTAAAAACCAAGGTTCCCTGCGGTGCCATTTTTTTTAAAACACGGGGGTCATGGTCAAAGCGGCCTTCCTTGGTCTGAAGCTACGCGGACTCTGAGACAAAGTGTGCATGTGTGTGCCTGTGTGCGTGCGCACGCGTGCGCCATGAGTGGCGTGTGTGTGTGCGTGTGTGGGTGCATGTCTGCACACGCATGCACCCAAGAGTCCACGATCTTCACCTGTGTGCACGCGTTGTTGCGTGTGGTGCGTGTGCGTGTGTATTATGCGCGCATGCTTCCCTCTCTCCGAAGCCTAACTTTACGAAGGAGAAGGCGGCGTTGATAATCATTCCCCCCCCCCCCCCACCCCCCCCGTCAACAAAATTACACGGCCGTCTGTGCGCCGTGGGCCAACTACTGCACCTTGGCAAACAGCCACGGCAACAGCCACGGCAATTCCCCCGTTAAAAAATCAACTTTTCGCGGCAACGGCAACGGCAACGGTAAAAACAACTGCCCACGGTAAAAATTAACTTTCACGGTAAAAATTGTCTTGCCCCCGCTAATTGTCTTGACGGATTCACAGGGAAGTCTGAAGCTCAGGCACTTCGCAAAGTGATCTCGAGAGGTCATAGATCAGGGGCATACACAACAATTGCGGAAGTCCACCAAACTACCTCTTTCGTTGGAGTTTTCACGCAGATTCTGTTGAACAAGTTTCACTGTTTCGCCAAATTCTCTCTCAGAAGCTTGCGCCGGAAATGGTGCCGACCTTTTGGGACTTGCCCCAAGGGTCACGACTGCCCTCTTCGAGCTGTTTGAGGGTCATGGTTGTGAGTTGGACCCTCCGTCATGAGCGTCTTGGCTAAGTTTTGGTGGACGTCACCAGTCAAAATCAAACCCTGAAACTGAAAGAGTCAAAAAAACACGTCAAAAGGGCGGGCCGCGTGCCCGGGTTGCATGGCTCAGGAAATAGATGGGTTTCCCTGGTAGATGATCTTGCACCACCAGGTGAACCAGGGAAACCCAGGAATTTTCGAGCAAAACCGCCAAAAAGGACACCTATGCTCAGAAGCGTCCCCATTTTCCGAAACCCCAAACTCGCAACTCCTCGGTGTGCTCCTCAAAGCTGTGGGATATTCCACCGATGCTGGGCACAAACATCATTACCTGAATCAGAAGCTGGCAATCGAAGCCAGCTTCCAGGGGGGAGGCATAAGGCTCAAGGCTCATTAAGGGCCATCCAGAGTACTCCAAAACCAAACAGTTCAAAAGACCCATGGAATGTTTCAGGCACGCCATCCAGCGTACTCCAAAGGCAAACCAGGAGGTACCTAGTGGCTCAGGAACCATGGAAACAACACCCCGAAAGCTGGCGAGTCCATTGACCTGCCCATCTCCCGCAGCAAGGCATGCCATGCGCAACTGCGCAACTGGGCAACTGCGGCAACTGCGGCAGAGCTCCATTTGGGGTACGTAAACAGAACCTGAATGTAGAGCTCGTATTACACCCGGCTAAGTCATGATCCGCTACAGAAAAGCCCAAGATGTTGTTTGATTCACACAAGTCCGTACATTGAACCTTGAAATAGAACTAGCCTTCAACGGATCCTTATATTATACACCTGAACATTGCCTTGTAAATGGCGGTGTCCCTCTATTTTGGTGGAAACAGCCATGTTTCTAAATGGGCAAAATGTATCTTTTAAGGAGCCCTGTTCAAAAGAGATGCCAAAAGGATTGCCAAAGCCCGAGAGCTGCGATTGCCCTGATTTTGATTCGCAAACCTTTCGCAAATGGACAAACTGAAGGTCGCCCAATGTAAATGGGTTACCTTCTCCGGAATTTGTTTTTTGTTTTTTCCCTGTGGCCAAGGGCCGCAGAAGAACTGCCCCACCAATTGAAGGGACGAATAGCGCCTGATAGTGCCCCTTTCCGGTCGATTGGGGTTTATTTAAAATGGCAACCAAACCCAAAAAGTGGCTCGAGTCCAGGAACCCAGGAAGTGAGGATTTCTACGACCAGAGGGACCCGTGGGACCCAAAACGACTTGGTTGACGTTGGAAGGGGAGCAAAAAATTAAATTCTAGCAGTTAAGTGGTTGGATTTCAACCACTAAACCACAATAAGCAAAAATGCGTAAAACGTTTCCCAACAACCATGACTCTTGGTTCCGAGCGGCCGTGGGCGTTTTCCTCGCGAGGTTGCTGGCGTCGTGCACCGCGCGCGCGGTCATGCGCATGAACTCGTGGCCCGAGGCTTCGGCGGCTGTGGCCAGGTCGGACACCATGGAGGACTGAGCTCAGATCGTTTGCGCAAAATGCCCCAACCAACCGGCCAACCAACCGGCCAACCAACCAACCAGCCAAGCAACCAGCCAACCAACCAACCAGCCAGCCAACCAACCAGCATGCTCTATGGAATCTACCCCCTTGTATCTAGGATAGGCCTCCCTATGGCAAAATACCCCCTTGCATCTACCTTGTATCTACCCCCTTCCATCTTGTACATACCCATTCTCTATGGCAATCCCCTAAACGGGGGGTAGGTGCCTAGGGTGGTGGGTAGTTGCGAGCCCTAGGGTTTCTTAGGGTTCCCTTCTGTTCCCTGCTTGGGGGTGTGGCTCAAAATCAAATAGCTGAGGGTACGCAGGTTTTAGTCTTTCCATTTACCCAGCTGCCATGGTGGTACATCTTTTTGACCCACAGCCATATCGTTCCGCAAAAATACCCGGTACCCAGTCTCTATGGCAATCCCCCAAACGGGGGCTGTCCTCAGATCCCCCGCGAAAAGCTTCACTTTTCATGGGAGAAATGCAAATCCCTACTAAGCAACTAAAAAGCTAAAGAGCTAAGGAACCGGATGGCTGGGAGCCACCAAGTTAAGAGGGGTAGTTGCCTACGGTGGTGGGTAGTTGACAGCGCTAGGGTTTCTTAGGCTTCCCTTCAGTTCCCTTGGCCGTTAGGGTTACACTAGAGGGGTCGAACCTGGATTTCGAGGAGTCAACAGTGTCAAAGGGTGGAGGTACAGGAAACTCTACAGGAAAATAGGCAGGTTTTGGGTCTTTGGGGGCCATTTCCGGTAGATTGTCCTGTTTGACACTTGCAATTTACTGGTGGCTGCGTTTGAAACTACAACTTTTCGGGGTTCCAAAAAGGGAAATGCAGGAAACTTTGTCATGGTTGCGGACAATACCCATTCTGCAATAAAGATGGCTATCCAAGCCTACTTTCTCGCGCAATGACCCTGATGGGGGGGGGTTCATGTTGTTCAACCATCGCTCTTTGGGCGTGGCTCAAAATTGAAGAGCTGATTTCCCGGTGGTTTTTGCGGGGAGCTGGTCTGGTCAGCAACCATGAAAGTGGGGATACCCAGAGAAAAAGGAGTCAAAGGGCAACCCACGCTGTGAGTGGCGTGCTTTTCTGCAAGAGTGATTTACAACGATCAACACACCACTCATCGCATGCCCCTCTCTAGAAACGCCCCGCCAACGTCGGACTGGAAATAGCCCGTTTCCTAAACGTGTTTTTCCAGTTGTTCAATTCCCCGATTTCCATTTGTCCTGTAAACAAGCAAAAACAGTTTCTACCATTGGCGTGCTTTGGTTGGTTTGGTTGAAACATAGGGCCCCAGTTTACCTGGTGGTTCAAGATTCTACCAGGGCCATATCTTTTCCAAAAAGGACACACATGATTTCTACGGGCCTTGGGCCAAACCGTACAAATCGATTGCTCAGCCGAATGGTGTTGGGGCTGAAGTTTGGTTTCTCGGGGTGCAAGTCCCAAATCCTTCCGAGCATGGCGACGGTTCATTAATAACCTTTCTGAGGCTTTTCGACCACCCAATTCTTGGTGGACGTTGGAAGGGGAGCAAAAAACTTAATTTTAGCAGTTAAGTGGGGATTTCCCACTAAGCCACAATAAGCAAAAATGTAAAATGTTTCCCAACGACAGCCATGAACTGAAACCGCTGACCCGCTGGAAACCAGACCCAAGACCCTTTCAAAGAAATTCACTTCCTGAGAGGATTGGCAAAGAGCCAACTTTTTGATAGACACTTACCTTGACCGTCCTCAAATCCACTGCTAAAAGCTCAACTTTTGTTACATGGAAGCTACCAAACACCAAAAAAAACAGGGAAAAACAAAGAGGAGAAAAAAAAAAGACGGACAAAAACCTGAAGGACCCGGATCGCTGGTTGACCCTCCAAGTTCAGCCTTTCCCCATCAAAGTGCAACACGCCCAGCGCCTGAAACTGCACCGGCGCCAGGGTCGCCCGGTCCACCGCAAACTCCACCGCCACCCCGCGCCGCCCGTTGTGGGCCTGGGCTTCCAGCGGACAGCTTTTCAGGGCGAGAAAAGGAGTCACAAGCAAAACCCGGTATCAAAATGGTTGACCCAGAACCATGTAAGGAAATACCAAGGCGGATTTCTGCAGCTGTTTCTGGCTGAGATTGTCCCTTACTAACCTCAATCTACTCGAATTTTGGTTGTGGCCCAAATGAGACTCAGTGACTTCCCTTTTGAGCGGCGCCCGTTTCACCCATTGACTCTTGGTGCGATTTTGAATGATGATCTCGCTTCCAATCGAGCGGATTGGTCAGAAAAAGTAACCAAACTTGTTCTTGGCCATTCAAATGGTCTTCCCAAAAGGTTTCAAGTCCAGCAACTCCGGAATGGTTCATATGGAGAATCGTCTGAACATTTGGATGCCAATCGCACGACCCATTTCCCTGCAGGCAACCATGGGACCCCTTACCCGTTTCATGGAACGCCTCGGGTTTTCTACCGAAAGACTGGGGTCCAAACTCCCGATCGAAGATTCATACGAGCCAGCCGCCCTTCCTCTCCGCTTCGCCCCGGCCTCCGCCGCTCCTTGCGCCGCCTGCGCCATGGCATCCAGAGCGCCCGTCTGGGCGCTGCGGAACTGGAGGATCAGAGTGATGCGGCCCGGCACCACGCTGGCCGAGTTCCTCGGCTGATCGCTGGGTCCAGGTTGCTGGCGGGACCCGGGACCCTGCAACAAGTGAGTTTCACTTTCTGGGTTGGTTGAGTGGAAAACCCAACTGGATTTCAACCAAAAAGTTAAAGTCTAAAGATCCGTTGCCCAATAGCAGTCAAGGCTAGGTCCTCCAGAGAGGTTGGACAGATCCAGTGGATTGGTCAGAAAAGTTTTTCCAAACTCGTTGTTTGCCACTAGAATGGTCTTCCAGCAAAAAGTTTCATGTCCAACAACTCAGGAAGGGAGTTGCAATGGTTCATATGGAGCCTTACTATTCTAGCTCAAGTAGAGGCCCCTTTTCAGGTGCAGAACCTTCCAATGGAGATCTTGACCCCTTCACTGGAGAGTGATGCTTAGGGTTGGTGATGCTTTTTCAGGTCAGGATCGCTAGGAGGTCCACTTCAATGGAGGTCCTGACGCCTTCAATGGACCGTCCAGTGATGCTTAGGGAAGGTAAAAAGTAACTAGGTCCTCCAGATTTGAGAGGTTAGAATAAGTTGGTACCCACTTTCTTCAGGACGCTTATTTTGGTAGGGGAACCGACCCCCAAAAAAGTGGGTAAAAGGGCACCTAGCTGGGAGACCTAGAATCGGAATCGGGAGCCGAGTTCCGAAAAATTGGGGCGTCGCAGTTTTTCAGAGTCCGAAGCGTTTGGGACAACGCGAAGCTTGGTGCCGAACCAGACGATTTTAGACACTTTTGGAGGGAGTGGCGTCGCCAAGGGTGCTGTTTTTTGGTGAACTCTGAATCCCGTTTACGGTATCTAGGGAATCAGCCTAATCTAGCCTTCCAAATCAAACCTGGATATGGTTTATGTGGGATCATGTTGGGTCATTTCCCTAGCGTGACCTGGGCTGTCCGTTTTCTGATCTACTCAAAGTTAACTTGTGGGTTTGATGGAAACTACCACTAAACCCCCCCCCCAAAAAAAAAAAAAACTAAGGACACGACTGGGAACCGCCACATGTAAAGAGTTGCCACCGCCGCAGTCCACCCACCATGTAAAGAATCTAAGAAGGCAGATATCCACACCCATTTTGGCCGTGGGTCAAAAATAGGTACCCAAAATGGAACCCTGGTTGGTATATGGAAACATGGACTAAAACATGCGATACTCTGGTGGCTTAATTTTGACCCATACCAATTTATGGCCAGGGCATTGTCCCTTACCAACCTTGCGCCCGGGGCTTTGATTGGTGAAGCGTCGGCCCCTCCACCTCCACGACGTTGATCCCATACACCGCCTCCGGGTCAAGGCTTTTTGCTGCAGCTTCCACCGCATCCAGTACTGCCGCACCCGTGCGCAAAGCAGCAGCCAAGGCGTCCTCCGGTTCTGCACTTCACCGTCCCAAACATGTGAGCAGCTACATGGGGCATGCAATTCATTACAATTTGGGGGAGCCAAAAGGAAGGAACATACAAACGTACCATACGTGTCACATTGGTAACTGGGGCATAAGACCCATCTGAACCAGTGAAACCAGTCTACTTCCTTAACCAAACTAAGCGTTCAACCGGCCACCTGTTCCAGAGGAGCAGGTTATCCTATTTGTTTTTCTCCAGCAAAACAACGACCCAACGGCGACATCCGTTTCCCAGCGCCACTTTGGACCTCCAAAAGTGGCAGTCTCAATTGCAGCGTGCCCGCCATTCTGTTCGATGCCCAGTCAGTAAGTGGTCGGCAAACTAAGGGGCTGACAAATAAGTACACACAAACACACAAACCTTTTTCGTATGTGCATGACCTAAAATTGTTTTGAAGTACCGAATCCACACCCCCCATTCGGATTATTTCGTCCCGGCCCACAAAAGGAGTTGAGCCTGCCAGTGGGTTATAACCCAGGTGGCTAACCGCTTAACTTGTTTGAACACCCAAGCAATCGTTGAGCAGTGGTTTGTCCACACATTCCAAGTATGCGCAAAAGGAGCATGAAATTAAGGGGAATTGTCCTTGGGCACGGCCCCCTTCCACACGAATCAAGGCTCTAAAATATATTTTGGAAACCGGGTTAAGAGGGGTTTGGGGAGGAGGGTAGGTCCTATGATCTTGGTCCAGTCGCAACTTCCGCATTCTTCCCAGGGATCCCTCTTTCAAGGAAAACGTACCCATCGGCGAAAAAACATGGAAATAGCCATCAAATGAGCAGCTGCATAGGACAGCACTCTTGCGCATGCCCCAAAGCCGGACCCTAACAGAAATCATATTGAACATGTGATCATCAGTGAGTCGCTTTTCCTGGATTCCGTGCTTGAAAGTGGTTCAGAGTCCATTTCCCCCTTGTGGATGTACTTCTCAAAATGTTCCTGAAACAATGAAAGTTGAGATTTGGAGAAGTTGGGGAAACACAAGTAGCAAGGCTGCGGGGGGCGAGCAGGAAGTTTCTTGCAAACGTGAACGACTTGTAAGAGCAACAAGAAACACATAAATGGCACTGAACAAAACACAACTCACAAACATGAGCAGCGCAACACCCGTTGATTTTGGGGTTGGCAACATGCTACACAGTTTTATACAAGCTTTACCGTCATTCCCATTGAGCCGGGGAGCACCAAATTGGCCCTTTAGTTTTGGGTGCTCCAGAGAGATGTTCTCTTCCAATAGGCCGACATCTGGAGTAAGCCAAAACCACCCCGATGATCTACCTTGCCTTCCTTGTATAACATGTGCTTTTTCTGGCGCATGCCAAGGTATCTAAGTCCTCCGGCAGAGAGATTAGAATAAGGCGACCCTTTCTTTTTCAGGATGTCTAGTTTAGTAGGGGAACCCTCCCACAAAAAAGAAACGGTGAAAGGGCACCTAGCTGGGGGACCTGGTTGTTAAATGGAAGCTACATAACCAACAAAAAAACATCCCCTAACAAACTCAAGGAACCGGATGCACCAAAGCAAAATGCACCAAAGCAAAGGTAGATCACGGAAAAAAACGGGGCGCGGGTCTCCCCGCTCCGCACATGCCGTTTCGCAATGGCTGCAAGGACGTGCCGTCCTTGCGGGAAGCCATGGGCGTGCTACCGGCGTGATTCCTCAGGCGAGGGCGGAAGCCCTTCAACTAATGAACAGTTGACGAGCCGACAAGAAACACGAACTAACCAAAACATAGGGTATAAAGATGTATACATGATATGACGTGTTAAACAGAATGTTTTGCATAATGAACAAATAAATACAAGTTTATGTTTATCATGTATACATGATATACATGAACATATATCTATCTGTTCATGCAGTTAGCAGGCAGAAGTTCAGGTACCAATGCAAATGGGTGCAGTGAACCTTTCGTGTAAAAACAAGAGCTTGGGCAGAACTGAAAGGCTCATAAGTGGTGGTTGTTCCTGCTAGGGGGACCGGGGGTATTGATAGGTCCCGCAAAAAGACCACCTGACAAAGGTGGTCAATTGAAACACAACAGAACAGGATCCCCCAAAACAGGAACCACAAAGTTACCCTCAACACAAGAGGAACCCCAAAGAGAGGAACCAAGTCATGTGGCCCCAAATTGTGTTCACGGAAGCAAAACCCATCTGCGAAAAAGGTCCAACCTGAATACTAGCATCTTAAAAAGGCCCCAACCGTGTCCATTTCTCACTTCCCCAGTGGAAATCGCCAAAAACCTCCACTCGCTTAAGTCCCCTGGGAAAAACAGATATGTCCAGTAGTGATAGATTCCCTTTAAAACCAACAGGGGAAGAAACAAAACTTAACCAAATGAAAAAAAATAGCATCTAAACTTCCAATTGACCACTAACATGGTCTCACTCCATGCAGTTTCAAGTCCACAGGAAGTGAGCGCAAAGAAATGTTGGCGCAATCTTCCCGAAAATGTAAGCCGTGTCCAAGTCTGAAGGCCATGCCACGGTAGAATCCTCAACCAGACTCAGAAGCCTGGACCAAATAACAGGCCTCCCCACTAAAATAAGACATATTAAAGTGGGAGCCCTTCTGAAGCTTCAAGGTTAAGGAGTAAGGCCATGATGCAAAACGTTTGCAAAGTAAGGCCTTGTAACCCCATCTAAAGGTACATTTGGGGGGGGTTCTAACCACTTGCCGCAGTTTCCCGGACCATCTACACAGGTTCTTGTTGAGTTTAACAAATCATACCAAAGTTCTGGGGGTAACTTCCCCACTCTTTCTAGGGATCTACAGGTGCATTTGGGGGATTTGGGGATTTGGGTTAACCACTTACCCACTTGCCGCAGCTTCGAACCCGGACCATCGACACAGGTGCATCGGTTTCCGGAATCTTTCGAGCCCAAGAAATCAGCCCAACTTCAGACCAATATTCTACAAATTCTCGGTTGCTTTCTGCTCCCCTGCTAAAAGTTTACCCACTAGTTGGCAAAAAGTTAAAGTCCTAACATGCAAGCAAAATGCAACAAATAATTGCTTCCCCATTCTTTTCAACCATCGTTCTTTTCAACAACCGACCGCTGCTTCCCCTGGGTTTGTGAAGGATCCCCTCGAACGCCGACTCCCCGACTCGGTCTTCTCGCTTCGTTCGGTCCCAGGTGCTGCTCCCCAGTGAAGGAGATGCGGTACTGCCCCAGGCCCACCACGGCTGGCATCCGGTGGGAACAAGTGGTGGGTTCAAATTGTTCAAACGGGAGACCGGCCCTCCTTCACCTCCATTTGAGTCACTTGCTCAAAACCCGGTACACAAATGGTGAACCCAGAACCATGTAAAGAATTAAGAAGGCGGCCGCAACTATTTATGGCTGGGATGGTCCCTTACTAAGCTTCATCTACCCGGGTTTTGATTGTGGGTCATTTGCTTTTTCGTCCCAGGAGACAAAGAGACATATTCTCCGGTGGTGATAGAATCCGACTTGCAAACCATCATGGGGTGCCCGCCATGAGTCCCCAAAAGGGGTCCCCCAACAGTTCGCCTTAATCTTCGCTTTTCCCCTCCCCCAACCCCCTCCCCAACCAAAATTTTGCCGGGCCGCCCCCCACAGTCTGAGACTGGTCTCAAAGTATGCCCGCTGGCGTGTCTTACGTGTCTGCGACTGGCCTCAGGCCCAGCCCAGCCAGCAACTTGCCACCCAGCATCAGGCCCAAGTGTGTATGAAACAGGCCTTGCCCATCCAGCAACCCGCCCAAGCACAGCTCAGCCCAGCCCGCCCAGCCCAAGTTCCAGGCGCAACCAGCAGCGTAGTCCGGCTGCCCGGCAGCCAGCAACCCACCCATGGCTTCAGGCCCAGCCCAACCAGCAACCCACTTCAGCCCAGCCTGCCCAGCGCATGCCAGCCACTAGGCCGGCCCCCAGCTCAGGTTTGTCTAACGTATCTAAAACTGGACTCAGGCCAACGACCAGTCTCACGTGTCTGAGACTCGTCTCAAGCTACGCCAGCACCAAGCCTGTCTGACGTGCCCCAGCCCCCCAGTCCGGCTGCCCAAGCAGCTCAGCCCAGGCTGACCAGGCCTTGACCTCCTGCTCGTGTCGCAGGCCCAGCCCCTTCGGCGTCTCAAGGTGCGCCAGCCTGAGACTAGCCTCAGGCCCAGTCCCTCAGCCCGCCTGCTGGCGTGTCTAGGGGATATTTTTCCGGGGTACTTAAGCAAATGGAGGTTTGTATTCCCACCATGTACCTGTCTTGGGCTGAGCAACCGAGCAAGAAATGTATGTCATGGCAAGCCGCCAGCCACGTGAAATGGAGGTGCCCAAACACCCAAAGTTGGTCTTGGTTGTTCAGTGACACCAATTATTGTTCCCCTTTTTATGGAGGCCAAGCCCCACTAAAAATGCTCATCCCCAGAAAGAGGTCTTTTTTTTTCAAGGGCACTGAGCAGCTGAGATAGTCTTGGTTTTGGATTTCAAACCTTCCGAGCAGGACGGCTTCCGAACATCGAACTAGCACGGGCGAACTGGTGCGGTCACAAGCTTTCAGTAGGATTCGGACCTTCCCAACACTGGATTTCGGTGTTCCTGACCCTTCCCTCAAACTAGGCTGGGCCGAGGCGGGCAACGCGAAGCGTTTACAATTAAGCGCTTAAAAGCAGTAAAACTGCACATTGAGGGGGGTAAACATTGGGAACCCATGACTGGATCCTATGATTGAGTGGGGGTTGGTATACCCTGAAACACATAATTAAATGGTTTTTCGTGGAATTTGGGCAACACCTTCAAATTAGGATGTGTTTTGGAGTATTTTAGCAGCATTTGAGTAGCATTTGAGTAGCATTTGAGTAGCATTTGAGTAGCATTTGAGTAGCATTTCAGTAGCATTTGAGTAGCATTTGAGCAGATTCGACCAAATCTTCAAATTAGGATGTGTTTTGGAGTATTTGAGTAGCATTTGAGTAGCATTTGAGTAGCATTTGAGCAGCATTTGAGCAGATTCGACCAAAACCTTCAAATTAGGATGTGTTTTGGAGTATTTGAGCAGCATTTGAGGAGCATTTGAGTAGCAATTGAGTAGCATTTTAGGATGTGTTTTGAGGTATTTGAGTAGCATTTGGGTCATCATGCCAATTGTCCATTGCCAAAGATGATAAACTGCTGACCTTGAACATGGAGTGGCAGCATCAAGGTTCATGTGCCCAGAGAAAAAATGTAGCAAATCTAGCTTTTTAGTCACTATTTGAGCAATGTCCATTTATGTGGCAAAAAGAGTTTAAATAGCGCTTTTTAGGTACCATTTGAGCAAAGAGCACATTACTTTTGGGGGACCCCTTCTTCCCTTTCACTGTCTGGCCCTCCATCCCAAGGGGGACTTCACCGCTTCGTAAACATAACTGGTAGCTCCTCCAGTCCCTCCTAGGCAACAAATAAATGGATACCCTATTGCGCCCGCCACAAAGCGCAAGGTGCCCTCCATCTTCACCACCACCCCACCATCCCCCCCCCCCCCGGGTTTGGCAACGCACCAAGCGCCCCCGCCCCCCACCATCCCCAACATCCCCAACATCCCCCCCCCTTTTGGTTTCGCCTTCCACCACCCCGATCTTCTGCTTCGCCGCTTCCAGCCGCGGGCCCTGCTCGATGTGCGCCTCGAAGAAGCCCAGGTAGGGCCCCCGGCCCTCGAAGCTGCTCGCCTCTCGACCCGCGAAGGCTCGCGGGCGCGCGGAGGCGAGGGGGACCGATGGACCGCCCCACTGCAAAAAGCCGCCGCCAGGGCGGCTTGCAAATGGGACATGAAACAAAAACCCAAAGAAGAAGAAGAAGTCCTCAGGTATGGAAATGCCTCTAGGGCCTCCAGATGGTTAGGGTACCATTTTTTTTCTGGGCGTCTGTCTTAGTAGGTTTAAAGCCTCCCCCAAAAAAGGGGCGAGCTGAGCAACCTAGAAGGGGTCCCCCAAATGGACCCATCCGGTTTCGGCGCAGGCCTAGGCTGTCCCCGGCGACAAGTTCAACGGAATTTGGTGGGTGATAAATATAAACCCATGCAGCCACTAATTGCACGGCACCCATTCGGGTATGTGTCAAGATAGGGGGGAAGCAAAGCGCCCGGGCTGTGCGTTTGCTGATCCACTGCGTACACGTTTCACAATGTTGGTCGGTGACGTGGAAACTCAACCGCTACACCAACTAAAAACCTCAAAACCCAAGAACCTAAGGCAAGTAGTGGCTGGCTAGAGGGGTGCCCCGACATAAACTTTCGTTGGACTGGATAGAATGGGCATGCTGAGACCCAGCGTCACTCCCCTCAGCTGCCCAAAGGACACAAGAATGACGAATGAACGTTTTGGCACCTTTGCTAAAAATGGGCCGGCCAAAGTTGGAAAACCAAAGGTTGATTGATCCGGTCGATTCGCTTTGCAAGTGAGCCCCAGAAAAAAAGGGTGCCCGCGGCCCATTTTTCTCTCGGGGGGGTGGCCGAGGCGGGCAAAGTGGAAGCGTTTACAAGAAGTAGAAGGTGGCTGTAGGATACCTAAAACAGAATTCAGCTATGATTGTAGGGCTGCACTACTGCCACATATTTAGCCATATCATCCTTCTGATCAAACTTATGCTGTCGTTCAGGGGTTCCCATGGTATCATAGAAAATGGCATCATGCTCCCTTGCAAATTTACATTGAACCCCGAAAAGGGGGTAACCCAAAAGCAGATTCCTCTAAAAAGGATATGGCTTCCTGGGTCTCAGCTTCATGAAAATTTGACCAAGGGGAGTGCACCCCAACTTCCCCGCAAAAAAAGTGAGAGGCCAATGTCCCCAGCCCTGCGTTTTCCGCAGAAAAACAGACTGGTGTCTGAATAACATGGCTCTTTGACTATCCTCCGCTCCTCAGCTCCTTAGCTCCTCGGCTCCTTGGCTCCTTGAACATCCTCCACTCCTTGGCTCCATGTGTTCGGGGCTCCGCATGACCACGAGGCGCGCGTGGAAGCGAAAGCGCGCGCGCGCGCGAGCTGCGTCAGGCTGCGCCTCGCCCGTGACGTTGGCAAGTCGCGCTGCGTCCGCATAGGTCAGGCCGCCCTAGCATCAACTGCTAGCTGGATGGATGGTCAGCTGACTTGGTAAGTTTGTGGAGTCATGCCCCTTAACAAATCAGAAAGGGGGCGAGATATATATATATATATACATGTATATATATGTGGATACATATATATATATATACACATGGGCCCTATTTACAGTGTTCTATGTTTGCTCGAAAACAACAAACACGCGGCATTGTCTCAGACATGTGAGGCAACATCCTCAAGAATATATGATGCGCAGGGAGTATTTCCCGAAAGAAAGTGGTGGCCCCATGTTTGAAGAGTCACGGAGACTCCAAGCAGCTTGTACTCAGAAGAGAACTGACCTCAGGCGCCCAAGTTACCATGGGTTATATCCAAAGTTGAGTGAACATAGGCCCTGGTTTCCTCCAGCAAACCCAGTTGAGATTGTCAACTTGATTTGTTCCCGCGTTGGTGTTTCCCATGAGGGGGATCCGGATCACTGGAAAGAACAAACAAAACATCCGGTGGGGTGTGTCATGTCGACATCTGGGGTCTTCAGGCCCAAAAGGATCTGACTTCCGAAGGTCCAAATGCAGGTCTTCGCATAGAGGCTCCAGTGATGCTTTGGGGGTCGGAGTTTCCCAAACAGAAGCAAACCAACAATTTTCACAGGTGCTTTGCCCGTGAAAGACATAGACACCTCTTGGGCTTCCATTTGCCTAAGCCAACTGAAAAACATGATACCATGTATCCGGTAGTGCTAGATCCCCTTTAAACCCAACAGGGAGAAAAACCAAAAACATATTCTTAGGCACATGGAAGGCCTCTGTTCGAGGAAAAGCCAAAGGGCCTTCCGTGGTCCCGTTCTCAGGCCCGTTAATGTCTTCTTTGCTTTACGGACTAGAGCCCAAATCTTCAGAATGGGATTGTAAGCGGAAAAAAGGAAAACAAACACATTTCAAGTCATGGTCTTAAAACACCAAGAACATAATGGTATGTGTGTAACTATCTAGCCCCGCTGTTTGCTAGTCTAAATACCCTAAATTGTCTGAATTACCGTGAGAGTTTCTAAATACGGGGTGCTCTTCCCCCCTAAAAATGTTAAACCTTTTGTGCAATGAAAAACCCGTTTTCCAAAAGGTTTGGGGGGCAATTTGGTCACAAAGACCAGACCCTCACTTCCTGAGTGGATGGGCCAAAAAACGCCCGCCAAAGTGGCACCCAGGGAGTGAGGATCGGACCAGGGATTCCCACCCACGCACCCCACTGGCGCAGGGTTGCATTGCTTGCCTACCAAAAAGAAGGTACACTTAAACCCACCACCTTTTCCCTTGCAAAACACCGGCCACTGGGTTTAAGTCAACCTGGTCAACAAACACATGGACCCCTGCACCGGCAAGCTCGACGGAGTCGCTGGATTTGTCGCCCCCCCGGCCGCGCGGTTGTGGAGGTCCGGCAGCTCCCAAAGCGCAGCGCCGTGGGCGAAGTGCTGGCTGCCGGGGGTGACCCCGAAGCGCCCCTCCTGACTCACGCGCTACGCTGCCGCTCGTCTTCTCAACATGTGCGAAAAACTCGTCCCCTGGAACAAAAAAAGATAAAAACAGTGTCCGGTGATAGATTCCCTCAACAGTGAACAGGGGGAAACCAAGACTCTTTAAATTTCTGAAGCAAATAGAAGTCGTATTGAAGGGATTCGTGTTACCCAGTCATACTATTTCTGAGGTGGTTTTATAACCTTAGGCTCTTCATGAGGCTTTCTGGTTACCTATGGGTTAGGTGTTCTTTTTCCAGGAGGGGGGGGGGGAATTCTTCTTGGATGAATTTGAAGGAACTCAAAGAGGATGTTTGGAGTTCCTTCAACAGAATCCTCACAATAGTTGTCTAGATCCCCCATTGAAAGGTTCAGAACATGTCATAACCATTCCCAGCCGAACCCACGTCAGATTGACCATGCCCTTTCCACCTGGGAAAAAGAACAAGGACCCAAGCTACCTACCATAGCCCAGTTGCCCAGTGATGGAAGACAACAACTTGGGACACTTGGGTTTTGAATCCTTCTTTCGGAGACCCACCCAGCTCGGCACTGAACAAATCCACCACCCAGTTTGGGCTTTGCCAAGCAAAAAGCACGTTGCCCCACAAAGAAAAAAACAACAAACAACTTTTGCCGGTTTGGTCTGTTCAAAATGAAATGTTGGCCAATCCTAACGCAAGATATTGGAAAACCAGTTCAAAGGGCGCAAATCCTTTGGTAATCCTAGGCAACCCAAAATGGTGGACCCACTTTTGGTTGGTATTCAAAGGGAACTAAAAACCGGAAAAAAACAACCTAGCATGATTAGACTAAGGCCCAGTTGTAGAATGTCTATTGTTTGCTTCCCTTTGAGTCAAAATGTAAAATGGCAAAATGTATCCTAAGCCTACCCCAGCTACGAAACCCGCCACGCTGGCTGAACCCGCCCCCAACAAGCCGAAGCCTTGGCTCGCGCGTTTTTCGAGCGAGCGCCTCGTCCTGGAAGGACACCACCTCCAGCGGCGCCTGAACATGGATCCAAGTGGCTCAAGTGAACAACCTTCATCCACGCTAGCTGAAACCTACCGGGCATCTACGTCAGTTGAGCCACAATCAAACCAGGGATCCTTACATTATACACCTGAACATTGCAACTTGTACATGGTGGTGTCCAATCTTGATTTTGGTGGAAAGAAAAAGCAACATGTTTCAAATGGTTTTGCTGAATGAATTTCTTTTGAGGAGCCCTGCTGAAATTGATTGAGCGGAGTCGCCCGAGCCCAGGGCGCCAAGTTGCCATGAAAGTAAGCTAGCTCCTCCAGTAGAGAGCTTGGAACAAGGGTACCCCTTTTTTCTGTAGTCTATTTTAGGGGAACTCTCCCTCAAAACAAAATCCCTGAAACTTGTTGGTCCGCCCCACGTTCATCGACTGCGGGGTTGACTGAAAAGGACAAAAAACGGACTTGAAAATGGACGCTTGACTTGTAGGTTTGTGTGTTGTTCAATAGTCCAACTCTAAACATGTCAAATTGGCTTTTGATGCTTTCGCACCTACGTAGTTTCTGTCCTTTTGCCTTTTGAATATCCAATCAGTGGCCAAATCAGTAGCCAACTCAGTTGCCAAGCTCGCGAGGATCCCTGCTCCAAAAAGAAGAGAAGAAAGGGAGGGGTCTAATTAGCCACCGGAGGTCCTAAAAAATCGGGGTACCCTGAAAAATCGGGGTACCCCCAAAAATGGGGGGGGGGGGTTCCAACCAAAATAGCTTCTCAACATAGAAAGCGGGGTACCCTGAAAAAGGCGTTGCCGTCCAGCGGCTTGGGAACTCGTTGTTTGATGCTTTGGAGGCCGGTGGTTGGTTCGGGAGTAGGTTCCCATCTACCCTCTACAAGAACCAGGGCTTTGAATCCAATTAAAACCAATCCGAAGCACCAATTGAGGAATACCTGAATTTGGGTGTGTATCCAAATAGAGACTTGCACCCCCAAATTGTTGGCTTTCCTGGTGGTTTCCCTTGAAGCACCAGCCTGGAATGGGTACTGTAGCGCGCCTCAAGAAAAACACACACACACACACATCTGTTCTACCTTGCCACTTTTTGGTGGGTCAAAGCTGGCAAGGGGACTCTGGCACGGGGACTACACCCCGAATAAAAACAGCATACCTGCAATTGGTGGTTGGGATTGGCGGTACCATGGGTATAACTGGGGTGATCGTCCCCTTACCATGGTTATCACCTTTGGATTGAACACCCAAGTACGGTCCCTGTCACCCAATGCCCTGCTGGTGCAATAGGTAGGGAATGAGGAATGAACTCAGGGGTCCGCATAGAGGAAACCACCAGTTGGATGGATTCTTTTTCGGGTAATTCCGTTCCATTCCCTGCCTCAGTTGTTCAGTGACCCGGGCAAAAAAAGGGAACCCTTTTTGGGGAAGACCATTTTTAGTGGGGCAGCCACCAAGAAAAAGAAGGACAAAGGGTGCCACTGAACAACTGAGCTGCCTAGAGGAAACCACCAGTTGGATGCATTCTTTCTTAACATCATTCGGTTCCATTCCCCGCCTATCGCGCCGATCGCAAGAGTCCCTTCGCTCCCCCTTCCGCCTCTTCCCCGGCCTCTCCTCCGAGAGCCTTGGCGGCGGTGAAGGCGTAGGCCACCCCTAGGGCACCGTCCAGCCACCCGCCCTCGCGCTGAGAGTCCGAGTGGCTGCCCAAGAGCAGCACGGGCCTCGGAGCTTTGAAACCAGACCTGACTGAAGGAGATGATCCATCCAGTTGCCCCAGCTAGAACCATGGATATATATATATATATTATCTATATAGATATACTTGTTTGGTACGAAGTAGGTTATTACCATGGGTAGTACTAAGGAGGCTGTAACCATGGTTAACCCTTACCCTGGGGTTCCAAAGGCGGTTTACTTTGCATGTGTTCTGTGAAAGGCGGGTTTTTGCCATGAGTAGTTTTGTCCAAGCTCAGCTGATATCATTGAACAATTCGGGCGCCGCACGTGCTCAGGACCAAAGTGTGCAAAGACTTGACCTCCGTTCCCACAAAACCAGCGGAGGGATTACCAAAGGACAGGCTGAAACACATAGATTCACCGGTGTCAAAATTCACGGCAGAAAACGTGCTTTCACGCTGGAAAACAGGCTTTCACGGTATTTTCACGGTATTTTCACGGTGAGTTCACGCTACTTTGGCGTACATCACGGACCGCTATGTTCACACCAAAATTGTTGTGTCAAGACATGTTGGGGTGGAACAGGCTTTGTAGAATCTAAACGTGGCAACAGTATGAATAATCCATCAAATACCACGCCATAGCTCATTGCAGGCGCAAAAAACAGGCTTTAGCTGCAAAAAACAGGCGAGGTGCAAAGGACGTTTAAAAAACAGTCGTGGATTTCTAGGGCTTGCCTCAGTTGCCCCTTCAGGGATCCATTTGACATATTGTGGCGAAACCCCGGTTACCCTAGTTAGAACGATGGTTGCAACCTATTTTGTACAAGCATATTGTTGGCTATAACATGCTATAACTGACGGGGGTTGGTCTCCTTCAGTCACGGGTCACTGGATTTCCCGTCAACAAGTTGATCAACTTTATGTCCATGGATCCTGCCACATTTGGAGCTTCCAAACGTGGAAGATGGAGGAAACTCGGTCAGTTGCACATTAATTAGGGACCCAGAAAAAAACAAAGGTGTTCACCTTGGCCACGACTAAACATGAACCAACATGGGGAAACCAAAAGGTGAAAACGAGGTTAGAATAAGGCTACCAACTTTTTCAGGATGTCTAGTTTAGTAGGGGAATCCTCCCCCAAAAAAGTTGGTAAGAAAGGGCACTACTGGGGGCAAGCGAGTTGCCAAGTCGGTTGTAACCATGGTTGTAAATGGGGCTAGTCTCCTTTTAACCATGGCTACAAGAATCTGTTTGAACAGCAAAGTGCCACCCCTTAGTTTGAGGGTTTCATGCTAACCCCTGACTCAAAGAAGTCGCATGAAACTATGCTAATCATCACGCCAGGTGTCCGAGACCTACACCTTCACGGCTTCCCCTTCACCAACATTCCCCCAAAACAAGCCTCGGAAAACTCCCCACAGACCCGCATTTGCCGCCCCCATGTCACGCTTAGTACATCACAGAGCATTCTGATCGGACCTCTTCGGGTTGGCAAGCAACATCCAGCCCCGGGGTTGTGTGAAGTCACCACTTCTGTGATAATTACAACAAGAAGGGCCTCCCGAACCCCCCTCCCCCCCAAATTCTCACAGAAGTGGGTTGGATAAACCCCTTGTGATCCCACAACTAGGTCCTCCAGATTTGAGAGGTTAGAAAAAGGGTACCCTTTTTTTTCTGTAGTCTATTTTAGTAGGTTTGAACCCTCCCAACCAAAAAGAAACGGTGAGAAAGGGCACCTAGCTGGGGGACCTAGGCGTGTGGCCAAGGTGCGTGTCGCGATGCTCTTTTCGCCGCCCGAAGACGTGGCCGGCGCCGTCCACCGCCGCCTGGCCAAGCGGACCCTTCCCCAGTTGGCTAGGCTGGAATTTTTGGCTAGGCCCATTTTCCAGAGTTCCGTTTTGGGTACCCTCTCTGCTACTCACTTGCCCAAAGGACCCAAAAATAGAATGTTAACCTTTTGGGGCCATGACTAAAACTAGACCAAAAAGGAGAAACCAAAAGGTCAAAAGGTCTGCTTTGGGCAACTGAGCCTACTAGCATGGCACCTCACAGGGGGTCCCTCCAAGAGGAAAATGATCTCGGTGCCTCCCACAGGTGCCTTGGCTGGAATTAGGACTCCAGCAAAAAATGAGATCCATGTTGCCTGGAAAAAGTGGAAAACAAAGGGACCCCAAAAAAGAGAGAAAAAAACAAAGAAACACACAAAGGGGAGCTAATTCTGGGGAAGTTGGTATGTCTCACTTCCTGGTTTGCTCCTCCATGTGGCTGTGGTTGTCAAACATAGGTGCCCAAAATAGAACCCTGCTGAATGGAACCTCGCACTAAAGCCTGCGGTCCCCTGGTGATTTAATTTTGACCCATACCCATGTGGTTGTGGTGGTCAAAACCGTTTTGGGATCCCTTTTGGTTAATAGGTGAATTCACCACCGCATTTTAGGACCTATTTTAGTGGGGATTGGGATGTTCACTGAGGGTACGATTTGGCTTTTGACCCATGTCCATGTCCCTGGTTCCCGGGCGACGATGGAAGGGCAGCAACAATTCATGTTTTGGCAGTTAAGTGTGAAATCCAACCACTAAACCACAACAAGCAAAATGTAAAATGTTTCCCAACAACAACCATGGGTTTGCTCCTTTATGTGTTTTTCCGTCCCTGGAAAGAATGAGACTATATCCAGTAGTGCTCGATTCCCTTTAAATTCGACAGGGGGAAGTCAAACAGATTCTTAAGCAAGTGGAAGACCTGAGTGGATTGGTCAAACAAAAATGTGTGTGGGTGCGTGTCATACTGTGCTTAAACCCAAGGGCTGTGATAAATCCTCTGGAAGATTAATTGCCAACCCAAACAGGAAGCCAAACTTTTATCTACCCTCAAAACAAAACCCAAAAAGTGACTAAAGTCCATGAACTCAGGGAGTGAGTACTTGGATGTTCAAACTTGCATAGAATCAGAAACTATGGCTTTGACTCAGGTAACTGGGGTACCCCTTGCAACCATGGTTACCTCACTAAGTTGGTTGATCCTCTAAGAGTAGCAAAACACGGTCTTCCTTGCAATCCTACACGAAAAATTATCAGAACCAAGAAAACCAGCAAAAGCATGCCAAGATCAGTGAAGAGACATAGCTTGTCACCTTGCCAGACCAGTGGCTATCTGCGGCATAAACCGGGGGACAACAATCAATGAGACAGAGGGGGTGGAACTTCCTTGCCAGCCGTTCACGCCAAGCGCGCGGTCACCATGATTTCTCAAAATAAAAAAAGGGAAACCTTGGAGGTCTCTACGTGAGTAATGTCTGCCAGTCATGAAAAGTGTCCATTTCAAGCTCAACGAAAGGACGGCGCACTCTAAAAATGGGCTGTCCAAACTGATGCCCCTGGGTTAAAGTTTCAGACACCCAACCACGCCAACGAGTCCATTTTGCCTCATCCCGCCTCCATTCCCAGCGCTTCCAAGCGCGTCACCAGCCAGCGCCGCGCCGCCATATCGTCCTCCGAGAAGGCGGGCCTGGACACCCCGAAGCCAAAGCGGCCGCCGCCCGTGGCGCCTCGCCGGGAGCTAGGGACATGGCCCTGGGTCAAAAGCCAAAATTCCGTACCCCCAGTGAACTAAAATGGATGGTCCTAAAATAAAATAGGTCCTAAAATGGGTGGTACTCCCAATCTCCACTAAAATAGGTCCTAAAATGGGGTGGTGGATTCACCTATCCCAACCATTCCCCTTGAACGGTTTTGACCACCACAGCCACATGGCCTCCCCGCCCAGAAACCCATCTCCAACCCCTCAAAATTAAGGACACCTCCATTTTGCGATCCGCTGATCGGTTAGCGGGATGGTCATCCCCTCGGTTGCAAGTCCCTTCCCAGCTTTTGCTTAGAGGTTTCAACTCCAGCAACTTCCAAGAATGTCTCAGTTGTTCAGTGACCCGGGAAAAAAAAGGGCACCCTTTTTGCGGAAGACCATTTTTTAGTGGGGCAGCCACCAAAAAAAGGGAAAACGGGTGGCACTGAACAACTGAGATGTACAACACTTCCCTGTGGTGCAATTCCAGGATGGCTCCTCTTTTTGAAGAAATCGGACCCCCCCAAAAAAATAATAATAGTGGCGGCCCACATGGGGGTAGCCTCAAAAACAGACACACCCAAACAAACTGGGTTTCCTGCTTTCGGTTGGTTCCCTTTAAAATCCGAGCAAGCTTGTGTCTGCAGTATTGGATTCCTCTTTCAAGGAAACCAATGAAGCGATGGTGTGTTGCCAAGTCTTTCTTGTGGGGTGGCCCGTAAGGGAAGCCATCTGAACATCGCTCAGAACCGAAACACCCCCCGGCACAAAGTCATATTTGGTCTCTTGAAAGGGACACGAGGACAAGCCGAAAGGGCAAAGGTTAACAAGGTATAAGCTAAGTCTGGCAATGTTTAGTAGGTTCTACTGCTTGGTAAAAGTATGGTAAAGCCTATATAAATACTAAGCACGTTGGCAGAAGCAACCGGCAATGAGTTTTGTGCGCTCTCATGTGTGCCAGGGTCGAACTCCCAACATGTGCGTCATAGTCGTTGCTCTCTGAACAGGAACCCCTAAAGGGTTGGTTTGGGGGGCTGGAAAATACCAGGGCTTCGTGGAATCTTGGGGCTCGCTTTTGCTAAGTCGAACACAACCCTGCTTGGTTGACGTTGGAAGGGGAGCAAAAATCTAAATTTCAGCAGTTAAGTGGTGGGATTTCAACCACTAAACCACAACAAGCAAGAATGTAAGATGTTTCCCAACAACAACCATGCCTGAGGCTAGGTCTGGTGCAGTTGGCTCTTTGGGGCTCTTCTGGGCATCGAGGCTAAGGCTTAGCGGAGCCCGGTGGCTGGTTTGGAGCGAGCTTGTGGCGTCCAAGCCATTGCCAGGGGCTTCAATCCCAGTCCCAGTCCCAGTCCGAACATGGGTGTTCCCAAAAGACAAAGCCCTGAGCACTGCCAATCGATTTGATTTTTTTCCCATTCCCATTGGGCTTGCTGGCGTGGAAACTAAATAGCGTCTGGTTTGGCCTCATGTGCATAGGTGTCCTGTCAGGGGAAATAGATGGGTTTCCCTGGTAGGTGATTAAACCACCACCAGGTAAACCAGGAATCGCCCAACCTTTCTTTGAGCAAAACAACCAAAAAGGACACCCATGACTGAGGGGTTACCTGAAAAGTACTTGTCAAAATATGCCTCATGGACTCCCCAACCAGAAGTGCGCCGTTTTTTGGGACTGCTAAGACCAAAAGGAGCGGTCAAAACAAGCCCAGGCCCCGGAGTGGGAACCTTGAGCCCAGAGATCAAGTTTTGGGCCGATCGACCCCTCCATTGAAGGCCCCTATGATCCCCCATGGCAAAAATGAGGAAACTGTCCCAGTAAACCAAATCTGTTGGAGAACAAACTGGGGAAAAACGAACCAACGTGTCCGATCCCGCCCCCAACTGTATCCCTTTGAGGGTACGGTTTGAAGTCGTGAAGGATGGAGCAACGCCCCAAACGCGTTGACTTGTTTTTTCTACGTTCAGAAGGGTTTCTAGATACCTTGCAAGCAGCACAAAACGGGGTAGAACCACCTAAAATGAAAAACCGCCTACGAGGATATGACCAACCAAGGTTTTGGGCGCTGCTGAAAACGGAGGATTTCGGGTCTCCCCGAAAAAAAGCGAGGACTGACGGCACTCAAACCTTGGGGGACCGTGGCCTAAGACAAACTTATTCCAAACGTATGAATTTCATTCAAAAACCCTCTGGTGGACATCACCTGGTGCGGATTTATATTCCACCACGGGGTGTGAATTTCAATTAAAACCCTCTGGTGGACATCATTGGGTGCACATGTCCACCACTTAGGCTCTCTACTGACATGCATGGCCATAATTGTCAAAAAGGAATTGGATCCAAGAGACCGACCTAATGGAAACTGCTGGTTTCAATTCCCCCAGAAATTTGTTCAATTTATCTTGGCTGGAATTAGGACCCCAGCAAAAAACATATTTGTTGCCTGGTTAGTGGAAAACAAAGGGAACCCCAAAAAGTCAAAAAAAAGAAGAAAACAAAGGAAGTAATGCTAGTTGGTTTCCCTGAATAAGGGTACCCTTTTGTCTGTAGTCTATTTTAGTAGGTTTGAACCCTCCCAACCCAAAAAAACAACGGCGAGAAAGGGCGCCAATTGCTGGGGGACCTAGATAAATTTGTTCACTTCATCTCGATGTGACGGTCGCTCTGCGGGATTCCGGGGCCCGGGCCAAAGGTACGCAGCTCGTGCAAGAACTCCAGCAGCGGCTGGCCGCACTCCGCTTCGTTGGCCGCCGAAGCCGAAGAAACGGACGCGGCCAAAGGCAGCAGCCAGCGACAGGACATCATGGCGGACATCGGCATGGCGGAAGGTGGAGGGGCTGGGCGATATCTAGGGGTAATTACGTCCCCCTTTGTATATGGGTACCCATATCTGGACTTAAGCTCGACCTGCAACAGCTAGCACTTTGCTTGGAGGAAATTCAGGAGAAACAAAGCAACAAAGCAAACACGCCAAGCCTTATGATATTCAGTGAACCCTGTTTCAAACAGGGCTTTGAGCTAGAGCCATGGGCATCTCTCTTGGATTCTTCTGACTTCTGACCTCAAGAGGTGACATCCGAATGCATGCTCCCACTGACATGGAAGCTGACTGGCGTTCGGAGAATTTATCTAAGTGGGGGGTGCATACACGAGAGGGCAAAGGTTTAGGTGTTTCTTGCTCCTGACCTCTTCCTCAGGCAAGTGCTGATGGAGACAGTTCGAGAATGATTGACTGCTTTGAACCGTCGAGCCGTCAGTTGGGGTCAGGTAAAGCAACATCTTCTTGATTGCCTGGTGCCGCTTGATTCAACAAAAAGTGAAGCCATACACCCGAAAGCGAGTGGCTACAACTGGGTCTTTCCTGAGAATGAGCCCGGAACCCACTGTTATATGTAAAACAATCTTGCTTTGGCTGTCTTGTGTGCATCTCTGAAAAGTCAACGTTGAATACTTGGCTGAACCTTTGTCTACAATTGTGGTCTCCAAAGGCTTCCACGAACCGTGGACTTGGTTGGCTTTATGCTCAAAGCTGAATAGGGTGTGTGTCGGACGCCCTCTCATTTTGGTCTCAGTTTTTGACTCATGCTGGTCCAAGTTATTTTTTTGCCGTTTTGGAAGTGTTCAGCCTGGTCAGGGGCCGATTCCGAAAACTAAGCCCGAAACGAGTACACAACTAGGACCGAAACGATGCAAACTAGGACCAAAATGAAAACGCGCCCTGTATTCCAGAACACGCTTAAGATACTGCAGATTTGGAAGTGTAAACTAAGCACTTCCTCCGCTTCTGTTGCCCCTCGATGCGACTTGTGACTTGCTGCAAACCATGTGAAGAATCAAACGGCACCTATATACCATGTGCCTGACAAGGGGAGTGGTGCCCCTCTATCAATTGGGTCCCACCCGCCCCCCTCGGATGGACAAAATCCGGCACCTCTTTAAAATCATGGTTGAACCCATTGTTTTTTCTGCTACTTACGTTGGGGAATCATGAATCATTCCGTTGGGTTTCTCGGGTGGTGCGACATGAACTTCGTCCATCAGCAGGAAAGACACCACCCATTCCCTTGGGCTTCTTTTGACACCATGGTGGAAACCATTGTTTGTTGGTATTTGCCTTGAACAATCATGAATCATTCCCTTTGGGTTCTTAGGCCTGATCGGTGCAAAGAAGAGAGGAGGTCGCAACCGTCCACAGAGCCCAAGGCCTCGCGCTGGGACATGATGTAGCCCAAGAGCGCGTCCAGCGCCTGGAATGTGGAGGAGGAGTGCTTCGCATCCTCACGGATGAAGGCGGGTCGAATTCGAATTTTGCGCCAGGGGGGGTTGTCCATTCACAGAATGAGCCCCGTGTTGATTGGGCCTTGTATATGTAATACATAGAGATGTTTATTTAGTACGACTTTGGATTGCTATTTTTATTAACTTGGTACCAACCAAAAGGAAACTACAAGGGGGGACCTGTTTCTAGTCCTGTCCTCCGTTGCATGCTCTTCAGGGATCCTCCTCGTGGCCCAAGATCAAAATTTCAAATGGCTGAGTTTGGAAGAGAAGGATGGGAACAGAACCATTCTGGGTCATTTCTCAAGGGTGTAATCCCAGGGTGTAATACAAAACCCCTCAGAGAAACTCTACCACGAAGCCAACCAAAGGCAACTAAACACCTCAGGCACCGGACGATTTCTAGGTCCTCCAGATTTGAGAGGTTGGAGGTTAGGGTACCTTATTTTTTTCTGTAGTCTATTTTAGTAGGGGACCCCTCTCCAAAAAAAGAACGGATAAAGGGCACTACTGGGGACCTAGGATTGGACTTGTGGTTGCCCTTCTACAAAATCGAAGGAGGCACCAATCAAGAGAGGGAAGCCTTGAAAACTTTACGGCCATGCCTACCACCAAGCTGAAGGGGCTGTGGCAACGGCGCTAATGGCCTGAAACAGAAGGGCCCGCTATGGGACTGTGATTGAGCATATCCACAAAATGTGGATATCACCAACTGGAAAAGGACATCTGACCCAAACCTTCAGAAACCCCCCGAAACAAACACAAGTGAAAACAAATCATCTGGGGGAATGACCAGTACCTGCAAGGCTTTGTCCTTGGGATTGTGTTTTGCTGTGTTTTTTGTTGCGTGTTCTCGAGGTGTTTGCATTCCTGCACCTGCGATCCGGTTTCTGAGTAGTTAAGCAAGCAAAACAAAACACAGCAAACAAACAACTCCCTCAGACAAAAGGTGCTGGACATGTCCAAGACATTTCCCTCAGGGCTTTGATTTTGTTGAGTTTTCCTCGAGCCAAACCACTTTTCACATAATAGTCACCAAAAGTTATTGTGCCACAGGCCACTTGGATTTTCGGTTTTGGGGGGTCCATCCATGCTAAGGTATAAAAACAAATGGCGGATTTCAACACTGAGGCTCCATGTCGGGCTGCTCTCGCCTGAACAGGGTACCCTTGAAAGACACACACAGAGACACATGGCAGCGACCGAAACCCCAAAGCCGATTGACTGTTGGCTCTAAGATGGTGAAAGGTTCATGGATAGGCCTTACATTGTCAAACCAGGCAGTAGGATCGCTGCTACTCAATGAGTGTCTCTTTTTGGAGGAACCACCCCAAATGAAAATTCTTCTTTGGGTTGTTTTTTACAGCAAAAAGACGAGCCACCAGAAAAAGACGAGCCACCCCAAGGCCCTTTAGGGGCTTTGGGCGCTTGTCCTGCTCGAGTGCCTCCACGGTCCGGCGCTTCACCTCCGGACAGAGGCGACAGCTTGGGCCGGGTCTCAAACTAGGTCCTCCAGGTTAGAATTTTGGGTGCCCACAAAGGAACACCTTGGAGGATACCTCTTTTTGGTAAGTTTTAAAGGGACACCAAAAGGAAAACCACCTAGGTCCAGATTTGAGGTTAGATTTTTTGGGTACCCACTTTTTTGCTGGTTTGTCGATTTTAGGGAAACCCTCCCCAAAAAAAGAAACGGTAAAAGGGCACTACTGCGGGACCTAGCAAACATTCTTCCCCAACAGCTGAAAGCTATGTTTTCTGGGCCGTGCTCAGATCCCTTGCAAAAAGTGACTAACTCTGAGTGGGTTTAGTGGAAAATCCCTTGATTTCCCCAAAAGTTAAAGTCTAAAGATCCAACCCAATAGCAGTCAAGCTGAAAGCTGTGTTTTGTTTGGCTCAGATAGGCTCTGTGGTGGTTTGGGAAATCTTTCAGGGAGGGTTCCGGAGGGTTCCAGTAGGTTTCAGGAGGTTCCAGGCCTGTTGGGGGGACCTGTGTATGTTTTCTGGGCCGTGCTCAGATCCCTTGCTAAAGGTGACTAACTTTTAGTGGGTTAAATGGAAACTACCACTAAACACTACAAGGCTAAAAAGCTGAGGGGATGGTTGGGAACCACCAAGATTCTTTTGGCTCAGATAGGGTGGGGTGCTTTGTTTAGGGAGGGTTCCGGAGGGTTCCAGGAGGTTCCAGGGCTGTTCGGGTGGACGAGTGTTTGGGTTTGGATGGCGCTTCGCGAATTTGTTGCTTCTGAAGAGGGCTCCCCGATTTCCAGACATGCCAAGTGCCCCTTCATCGCTTTCTGTCCGGCTGGATCAGAAGGCCTTCAGGCATTTTGCGAGTCACACGTCTCACTTCCGAAGTAAAGAAAACTAACCAAAAAGCAAAACCGTTCCCTACGGGTCCTTCTCGTTGCTTGTGCCGTCCATAAACAGTACGGTCTTCAAAAGGGTTTTTGGAGAGTCGAACACATCCGGGGGCCATGACCCTTGCAACTACTGTAACAACTAAACTACAGTTTACAGGCCCCCGCATCTTGAAGGACCCGGTCCCACTCGCCCATTTTCCTGAGAGGTCTTGAAAAGTGGTCTTGGACTGCCAACCTTCGGCCCCATGTCCTCCCTGGCTGGGGGTTCCCCATGTTTCAAGTCTCACCTAACCCAAAGGAAGCTTAACCCAAAGGAAGCTCACGTGAGGCCCCCCCAAAGGTGTCGACTTTGGGCAAACCCCTCAAACCCAGGGCTGTGGGAAATGGACTCCACTTCTGTGATACAACCAAAAGGGCCTCCCAAAGACTAACCCCCATATAAAAAGGGGATTCCCATGTACAGAAGTGGTTGGATCAACCCCGAGTGATCCACCACAACCCTGTTCCAAAGATCCTTTCTCCTCCAACAGCTGAAAGCTATGGGCTATGGGCCACGGGTCTGGCTCTGGGGTGGTTTGGGGCAGCTTTCAGGAAGGGCTCTGCAAAACGGAAGTCTCGTTGGACTTTTTCGTCGGAGTCCAGTCGCAAGGAGGGCTTGCTCCGGGCTTTGGGTGCTGCGAAGAGCTCCTGCCTGGTGTCCTTTGCCAAGAAAAATCACCCAAGCCCCCCCCCCCCAAAAAAAATAAATAAATAATAATATGCATTATCACCCCCCCTGCCCCCCCCCAAAAAAAAAAACAAAACATCCCATGGTTCTGGAAGAGGCCGGCGTAAAGCAGCCCCGCCAAAATCTCACGGCGGCAGGCCGGCGGAAAAAGCCTTGATGGCTACCGTGGGGCAGGCAAGGCCCCGCCTGCATCAAGTCCAAGATCAACTCGGTGATCTGGTCATCCTGCGGACATGTTCTCTCCGGGGCGCCGCAGACCGCAGAGCAGGCGCCCTCTAGTGAGAAGAAACTGGGAGCCCTTGCCACTCATAGGTGTCCCTAGAAAAAAGCGTATAAAGTCAATCTAAATCAGGGAAACCACACCATACCACACCTATGTTCAAATCGGAAAGTCGCACATCCGAGGCTTTGCTCAGGTGGCTTCCATTGGGCATTGGCCA